GCAACGTGAATCAGACTTGATAGATGGCTTAAGTAGATAATAACACATTAAAAAAACAAAAACAAACACTCACTGAAATTGATTTTCCAAAACTTTCACCGCAAAGTACACACAATTGTGTACTTGTCTCAGGTAGCATCTTTCCAAGACATCTTCAAAAAAATAAATAAATAATTTTTAATAACTGTTTCATAATTTTTCAAAGATTCGACATCTGGTTCATCTCCGTGTCAATGGGTCTCACCTGAATTCACTGAACACAAACTCAACTGCTCTTCATCGGTATGTGTGTGAAGAGACCGGGACGTTAACAGCTGCATCACAAAGAAAAGCTCCAGGAAAAGGTTTGGCACGAGGTTTTCTGTGAGGACAAAAAAAAAAAAAAACATCTAAAAACTTCTATTTGTTTTATCTTCCATAACAGCATTCTTAGCATTTGTCAACTTACTTTAATTCCTTTTAATCAGTTAAGCTACATTTCCTTTGAAAACACCAATACAATAAATGCTTAATAATAAATAATGCAGAGAAAATTTTCCAGCAGGACTAATTCGAATGCTTAGCTCGTTACCATCACCCTGTGGTCATTTACCTGAAATGCAGGTGCAGTACAGCTCAGCCAAAACATCCAGGTCTGAGGAGAAGGTGACTTTGGATGGTTCAGGACACGTCGTATGGGGGTCAGAGGTCACTTTGGATTCTGCCTCAGTTCCTGACTTAGTAGGAGTACAGGGATCCAGAGAGGAGGGAGGAAGGGAGGCGGCCTGCTGGGCAAGCTTCGTCCTACAAACAAAAACAAAATGGCATTTAACGAGTCATAACTAATAAATACATTGCCTACAACTTGAACTTCTTCATGTTTCCTCATGTTGCAACCATGAATTTTGTATTTTTTTTAAGATTCTGTTATAGACTAAATGAAATGGATGTGGATGGGAAAAGATCCATGTTTCTCTTGACATCTAACACAAAAGAAAAGTAAGAAAATGTGCAGCACATTTGTTTTCTATAAGTTAAATCAGGCAAGGAAGAAAAGTGAGACTTCATCAAATACTCTTCAAAGACTTTACAAGTTTGTGTTGACATCATAAAAAATGTCAGATGAAAAATCTGATCATCTTTTCCGAGCTTTCTGGTTTTCTTCTATTTTCATGCCAATTTTTTTGCCCACAGGTATTTTTGAATTGATAAAAATGCTTAGACAAACCTTCAGAGTTGGATGGATGGATACGAAAGCAGAAAAATGTGGTTGAATAAATATGCATATAAAATACCAATAAGTCTTCAGTTATAACTTTTGAAGCACTACTACAACAGGATGGTCAGATGTCAAACTAACACCTACTTTATCTGTTGCATTTGAAAACCTCTACTACACGCGTGAGCTTACTTTTCCCTTTTGAGTAATTCTCTCTCCTCCTTGAGGCTCATAGGACTCCCTACTGCTGTCAATCCCTCAAGCGGCTCCACTCCCAGTGGAGGGCTGGAAGCCTTCTGGAGAGGTGTGGACATGAAACACGTCTTTGGTTTAGAGTGAGGCCGGTCTGCGCTGACCGGCGTCGGGTTTATTCTTCTGGATGGCTTGGACGTCCTGGGAAGGTAACAGAAGCGGTGAGGCATATTCAAACCTAAATGGTGGTTTTACGTTTTCGGGAGAAGCGTGGAACTCACCCGGAGGAAACGGGAGACGCCCCGACCGGAGGGAAGTCTTCCAAGTTGCTGAAGTTGAGATGAGCTGGAGTTGAAGGTGAAACCTGCTCGCTCGTCCTGCCATGGCCTCCGCCTCTCGCTGATCGCCTCCCACCGGCCTCACCGCTCTGGGGGCCTCCACGCCCGCCTCCGTGTCTTGCTTGCCCTCCGACCGGTGTGCTGCCAGCACTCTTCTTGCGCCCTTTGTGTGACTGGGAGCCGGTGCTGCTCTGCAGCTCCGGGGGAGAAACCATGTAGTCACCTAGGCAAACTTTCTGGGCATGCTTGCGCTCAGAGCCCGACGGCCTGGAGGCTGGACTCCACCCTGTGGACCAGGGGGGGCTGCCGAAGGCACTGACTCCACTTAGTCCTGACTGACCAGCAGCATCCGGCTCATTTCCAGGTGACGCAGAAAACAGCTGCACGCGACTGGCACTGCGAGATCCAAGTGCACTCCCTGCAGACCTGCATGACGGGTTGTCAGAGAAGCCTTGGGTCTTCGCGGGGGCTCTGGGGCCGCTGGGGATCTTGGCTGGGGTTGCAGGACCATTAGTCAGAGCGTCGCCGCTCTGCTCTCGCAGGAAGTTTAAGAGGAAAGGGACAAACTCTTGTTTCTGAATGGCCAGCTGAGGTTCGATGGACGACAGCTTTTCACCCTCCTGTTGACGAGAGACAAAGACGGAAGCAGCTGTAAACAACTTTGCCCGACCTCGCTCGCGATACCCCGGCTAACATTTGTTTACCTGCGTGCTCGCCCCTAATCACAAGTAAATACATCAATACCGAGAGGAGCGGGTAGGGTTCGCTTCGTTTTACTGGACTGAATGGAAGAAGAGGACATCTTGGCTGGCTTTATCCGCACCACAGCTACAGAGACTAGCTAGCTCCGCAGCTAAAAGTTTTGTTTACAGTAACTTGCGGGCTGTGACATCTCACACCGCGCCCCTTGTGAGGACGTAAGCGAAGCTAGCGTTGCTACGATACAGGTATTAACTGTTTCAGACCTACCTGGACGCTTTTCAGCCAGTCAACAACCTTATCCACGTCCACTTTCCGCAACAAAACAGATTCCAAAAGAGCCGCCATTCTGCGTTGCGCGGCAGAGGAAAACAAGAAGGAGGCGGGGTCGTTGTGCGCGCAGGCGCACTGTCAAAGTGGAGGCTCGACAGCCGTCGACGTATAAGAATAGACGCTGCACTGGGTTTGTTGTGATACGTGAGCAGGGCCGCCATGTTGTGATAGGCAAGTTTATGTCTATCTGCAACATGGAATAACTGAATTAAAACAAGATTCTGTGAATAAAAGAAATACAGAAGTTTTGTTCTATTGATCCAGATTGATTTTTATTCTCTATTTTAGATAGTGTGAGTGAATAATTTATTTGAATAATATTTTTTTTTTCTTAATTTGAAATTTGGTATTATCTGTGATAACAATAGAGGCTTTCCTTATTTGCATAAGTAAATTCGTTTGCATATTTGTTTTGTTTACAAAAATTATCACTAAAAATTTGTCGACAACGCTGATGTATGAATCGTGTTCAGTCTAGACTTCTATGTCTATGCTTCAGGTCCTAAAGCTCGATTGGACTGAAATGGGCTCACGGGCTTCCGTAATTTCTAGGTAGCAACAGAAGAACTGTGTCAAAACCTTTAAGAATGACAAAAATAACAAGAATAACAAGAAGTCAAACATGATTATTTTATAAAAGAATAGAAAAGAAAAATATTTTTTTTAAATTTACTTTATTTTTTACACATTTTCTTTTTCAGAATGAAATACCAAACGTTTACATTCGTTAAAAAAAAAAAAACTTTTTCAGTTTCAAACTTTTTTTTAAAAAATGTATGATTGGCCCTTCCCGGGCCTGGTTCTGATCAGGGTCACGCAGTTCTCGCTTGATGTACTGCTGCAAATCAAAGGTCAAATTCAGTCTGTTTCCTTATGCTGCTCAGTCGAATTTCCCAGTCTGTTGATTCAGATTGCGGTGCATTATATATTTGCATGTAACTGTTTAACTGTGTGAATGCGAATCTGACTGCAATGGGTTGAACTGTAACAGGATGAGCTGGACCGGACATTTTAATGTGATTGCATATGTTAAGATTGTTGTGTAAAGTGTTTTGAGATGTCCTTAACTTATAGGTGATTTTTTTAAAAAAAACACACAAAACTACCACTGTAATTTAACATAGGGTCCAATGGTTTACAGTAAGGTCTTTTATTTACATGTTACACAGCATGAGCAGGGTTGTATAAATTATTTCTTCATGTAGTGCCAAGAATCCTAAACAAGAATATGTCAAACAGTTCTGTCTGCATGCGGAATGAGTATTTTATTCATAACCAGTTTATAAAAATAAAATACAAAATAATTCTAAAATAAAATCAAAATTAAAGAAACACTGTACAAGGCATTTGTATGATACAAATAAAATATCCAACATAAATAATTACAGGTATATACAATGCAAAACTCCCACTTGTTACATTCCTTCCTTGAAGCTGTACAGTCCGGTTTCAAAAACAATGACATATGCTACAGCGAAAAAAAAATAAAAAAAATTAAACATTAAAAAAAAAGAAAATTTATGATTTTTGAATTTAAAATAAAGTTGAGGCTAATGTCACAATAAATAAATTCTAGTCAAGCATTTCTAAGACATTGACAAGTATTCTAACGTTGTGGCTTGAACAGAGTTTTTATTTTATCTCACTTTTTGAAGAAGAAAACAAAAACTAGAGCAGATCAGTTTGTTCTTGTGGTCTGCGTGTAGAAGAAACCACTAACACCAAAAAAAAAATAAAAAAATGGCACCTTTCAACCTGCAAGTCACTTTCAAAAGTGACAAAGGAAATCTGACTTGGACAGAAACACTTAGTACTACGACTACACACACCACTTCTGTGCATTAATAATGAAAATCAAGAAATATGATTATCATAGAAAACCAGCAGCATTGTTTAGCATCTGTTCCTTCCTCTCATTGAAGCATATGTTATAGTTGTTGTTTTTTTTAAAAGCACTGTTTTTTTATGTTGTTGTTTTTTTTTTTCAATTTAAATATGACTTTGAATATCTTACAGGTATTTATTAAAAGTCTGCGTAATGAATTTTAAAAGCTGAGGGTACTTCGATGTCTGCAAGTCGACGCGGGACAGTTCACATATTGGATGTAAAAGGTAATTAAAAAAAATAAATAAAAAGTCACTACAAACACATGCCATGGAGACTGACCAGCTCCCCCCAAGTTTTCTTACTTGATTTGTGGAATACAGATACACTTCAGGGTGGTATTGCACACAAAAAGTTTTTCTTTTTTTTCCTGGATCTCAGAGGAACGGTAGCACGCACAGACAGGAGAGAAGAAAAGAATACTTCCATTTTTGCTCTAGTGGTGAAACAATCTCCAGCACAGACAAGGCTCAGTCATCCCTTGCTATATATACAGAGGGGCAGAGAAGAGGCATTAAGGCTGTTCTGACTGAACGCTGTCTGCCTTCAGGATGAGTCATCAGAGCTGCTCGGTGAGACTAATCTGCGCGAGTCCAAAGAAGCGGGACCGTTTCACATCTGCGAACGAGCCGCACCTCATCTCGAGCCATCGAAATATTTGGCAATGTCACTATTGTCTTTGTCCTTGTGTTTAGCAGCATCCCATCACACGGGGATCTCATACGACTACAGTCTCCTCCATTTTGTGCATCAGATTTGTGGAATGCACTACTAAAAACAGCATCACGTACAGTGTCTTGCAAAAATATGCACACGAGTAGAACCTTCCCACTGCTTGTCAAATGTTTAGAGCGACAGTCGCACTGGATCTTATTTAGTGGTATCAGAATAAATACGAAAACATAATATTTGAATACAAACGCAGTCCACATAAAATCCAAATGTAATGCATATGATGACATCTGCCATTGTAGCACAATTTCCATGGTGCATCATGATGGTGCAGATACTTTTCTTACCAGGACATTGATCGTGGGTTGATAAAACTAGCCCACAAGGAAAAACAAGAAATAGGTTGCAAAGACTGGACACTACAATGGACTATATAAATCTAATCATATTCACGGTAGAACGGCCTAGTCAATGTCCAGCCCTAAGCTCAATTGAGAATCTGTAGTAAGACTTGAAAGTGTATGTGCAGTCACTCTTCATCCAATCTGAATTCTTGTGGAAACTGTGAAAACCTTGCACCATTCCCTTTCCCCTCACAATTATGAACAATTTTGTTGTATCACATAAACTCCCGATAAAATAGATTTCAGTTTGTGGTTGTAACAGGATCAGATTTGGGTAGTAATAGCAAGCTAATGTACATTTACTTCTGTAACATATAAAAACTTTTAGGACTATTTTTGCAACACTGTATTTTTTTTACTTTTACTTGAGTAGTTTCATTATGAATATGTAATTCTCTTGGTGTAACTTTACCTGCTCTACCTGCTGTGAGTAACTTCACTGAACGACGAAGAAGCTTCTTTCAGCCAAAAATTCGCCGGACGTAGACACGCACCAAAAGTTTTTTGTTGAAGTTTCATGTAACTTTTTATTTCAGTCCATTTGACGATGTGGTTTTAAAATACTTTTCACTCTCGACTGAGTGAATTCTCGGACGGCTGCTTTTTACTTCTTATTGAGTAAAAAATGTATTTGGAGAAGTGCTGCTCTTACTCCAGTACAACGTTTGGAGGTATGTCAGTATTTTTCCAAGACACTGTAAGCAGCAACATAATTGACCCAAATCAGGACGAGAAGCACAAAGACACAGGGTCTAAGGAATTAAACCTGTTGACTTCTTCAGGTAATGATTTTCTCATTGGGTTAAAAGAAGAATGCTGTGGAGCAAAAGAGCACTGTGCGGCTCTTTTGCTCCACATCTGGTATATATGTCTGCGTTTTCTCACCATGCAAAGAGTAGCAGTTGAAGGAGGCTTATTGTACAAGCGGAGGGTCCGGAGGAGGAGGCTTGGCGAGGAGATGAGATAAAACTGATACAACAGCAGCCAGGAATGGTCTTCAGTGCAGGATACATGGAGGTTTAAAGCATTGTTTTGTTTTGTGAAATACATGATCGTATGGCCTCGATTTTCTGTATTGTCAAAGGGTTGTTTTTTTTTTTTCCTGTTTTGTTTTTTGAGGTTGCTTTTGTTCAAAGCCAAAAACAGCGACACATAGATATACATCAACCCTGAAACCTGAAAACTGTCTCCCCCCCAATAATAAGAGCTACTTTTTTCAAAAAACTACAAAATGTCCATCTTGCTACCTTGGTCATAGAAATGAAGGTCAATGTAAAGGTTCAACTTTTTAAGTGCTGGCACAAGTCTTTTTGGCCTTTTATTCCCAAATTACAAACACATGAGAGTAAATCTTTAAGCTGCCCAAAGTGCCAAGGCACATGCTGAGAGAAAGGTTTGTGTCCATGCATTACTCACCAGTAATGCACCTTAAGCTGTTCAGCCTATGTCAACCATGACCACTTGACCAAAACAAAACAAAAACATGATCCACTTATACCTGTCCTAAAGATCCTAAGTTAACCTCACAGCATCACAGTAGGCACAAAACGGTGCGCGATGTCACGCACTTTACACAGCTGATTGTATAGAGGGCCACTGAGCAATCCACTTGAAACTAATGTGACGGTCACACGCCTGGGGAAGGAGGTTTGAAGAAGCTTTACAATAAATACTTTTTTTTTTAAAAACAACTTTCGACAAAGTATAGCTTAATTTAGCAATAAACGTACCATAATACCCTGCGTGCAGCCTCCAAAAGCAGAACCGAGGCAAATTCTTCATTGAGTTGGAATCACCTACACTGTGCATTAAAAAAAAAAAAAACAAGGATTAAACCACTACTAACACCTAATCAGGCATAACATTATAACCACCTGCCTGGTAGCGCGTTGGTGTCAGCTGCCAAACAGCTCTGACCCATCAACGTTTGGACTCCACCAAACCCTCAGAAAGTGTGGTAGGGCATCCAGGATCCTCCTGGGTCCCGTAAGTTGCAAAAACGTTTCAGCGCATCCAAAAATTTGAGATCTGGAGGAACTAGAGGTCAAGTCAAAAGCCAACAGCATTCCTGAAGACTATTTTGTTTTGACGTGGGGCACATTGTCCTGCTAAAAGAGGCCAAACCCACTTCCACAAAAGGATGATCAGCAGGGTCTACAATAACACAACAGCCACCTGGTAAAAGGAACGAAACCCAACGAAACATCTTCAACTTCAAAAGCATTATACTTTTTCTCCTGGGCTACCTTCTTCTAACATGGTTTCCTAGTTTTCCTAAGCAGCAGCAGTTCTTGCCTGAGTGGCACCCTGTGCTAAACTCCAACCAATGAAAATGGAGAAGTTTGAGCACACAATGAAATCCTGTGAAGTTCCTCACAAACCACCTTATTCAGTCTCCCTCCGCAGCAACTCCCCATTGACTGCACCTTAAGGCAGGAGAGAAACTTACCCAGCACAGAAGTTTGTATTTTATTTTTTTAATCTGGTGCCATCCATTTTTTTTTTATATATTTTTTTATGCCATCTTGAGCAACTGCTCATATCGCACATATCCCACAGATTACACATGTTCTCCATTTGGTCTAAAAGAAAAGGCGATTAATCAGACCGGCCAAAACTCTTCTCATCGCTTCGGGTGGGTCAGTTCAGATACTCACCTGGCCATTGTTGTGCAGTAGTGAACGGGGGGGTGGGGGCGGGAGTCAGCGTCATGCTGAGGGGGGTGGCGCATGCAGCCGCGTGCGCAACAAACTGTGATGCGCTGCATGTTGTGACACTTTTCTATTAGAAATGGCACTATTTTCTTAAGCAATCGAGCTGGAGTATTTTAAATGTTTGGTCGGACCACAGATCCACCCAGATGCATTAGCTCACACCGATCAACTTCGCCGACCCACTGTGGCTCCCTCTTTGGACCACTTTTAATTGATAACAACCACTGAAGACAAGGATCGACCTAAAAGACCAGCAGCTTCAGAGATTCTGACCCAGAACAACTAGGCTCTTGTCAAACACACACAAATCCTCACAGTTTTTCAGCTTTGAGGAGAAAATATTCACTTGCTCCCTGCTACTGTCCTACTCAGTCAAAGCTGCCCCATCACCTGCGGGTGGTTATGTTATGCCTGATCGGTGTATGTCAATGTACAGGATAGGTCAAAAAGAAAGGCTCAACTTAGCTATTGTTCTATATTATACTACTGCCTGCAGCATGATAGAGACACAGCTTTAGTAAAACGAGTGTCCGGATGCAGACTCTATTTATTAATTTTTGTTCTTGCTAGTTATACCTGCAAGATTGAAAGATGAAACTGAAACAAAAGATGATATTTAAGTTACTGAGTAGTCAAAACATCTGAAAGGTCAGACAAACCCTGTGTATAAGCACGGGAGGAAGGGAGCGCTCAGACGAGAAGGAGGTCTGGAACTAACATGACAGAAGGGGAACTGGCTATTTCACTGACTGAACAGGAAAAACTCAGGTTCATTTTCCGACTGACGTCTATCCTATCGTCACTGGAATCCTCACTTCCCTTGCTATGGCGTTGCAATCCGCTGCGTAATTATCTGCTCAGCTTGCTGGAGCACTTGCCCTCTCGGCTGCAGCCCTTTCCCCGGGACAGGTGGAGTGGGCTCGTGCGCGCCTGCCGACTGCAGCACGTCTCCTGGTGGTGGAGGTAGAAGCGGCGCGGAGGCGGCGACCCCGAGAAGCTGGGCGGCGAGTGGCTGCGGCCCAGGCAGCCGCCGCCGCCGCCCCCTCCGCTGCGGTGCTCGTGGCGGGACGGCGAGGAGCTGACGGAGCGCTGCAGCGAGGAGGAGCTGCGCGGCGAGGCGCTGGAGCTGCGGTGGTGGTGGTGATGGTGGTGGTGGTGATGCGGGGAGCTGGTCAGGCTGCAGACGCCCATCCGGGAGGCCCCGTGCTGCGTCGGGGAGCAGTGGTGGAGCGGGGAGCCGCGGGAGCCGTGCATCAGCTGAGCGATGCATGACAGGAGGTCCGAGTCGCTGGTACTGCCGGCCCGGATGCGGTAGCGCCTGAGTCTACATGGGAAGACAAAGACGACGAAGGACATGTATGCTCATAAAAAAAATGATATAATTGATCAGTTATTCTGAAAATTAATCAATAAATTGAATAAAGAAATGGTGCATTCTGCAGTTTTTTTTTTATTGAACTACTTCAGCCTCTTTTATTAAATAACGGAAATACATGAAAGAATGCAAATATTCCAGTTCATTGCAGAAAATAAATAAATAGATTTTGTTTTTTGGAGAATTTGATGAATTCTGGGTAAAACATATTTACGTGCAAAGGCTTTTTTTTAAAAAAAATCTTATTTGCATAATGTGAATATTTGGGTTAATTACTGCCTGGATGTAGTTTTTGTTGTTTTTAAATGTTCATTAGAATTTAAAGTTGATTGATTTTTGCATCTTTAAGCAACTACATTATATTACTTGAAAATGGTCTCAAAACGCAATATAATAGTTTATCGCAATAATTTTTGAGACAAGTGATCATCTAGCAAAATGTGTTATTGTGACAGGCCTGTGTATTGTTGACGATCAATCGATTACTACAACAGTTCATGATTATTTCACTGATCGATCAATCACGATTAATACAATTAATCAGCCACATTATATTTTATTTAAGAGTACTTGAGTAAAGGGCAATGTACTTTGGGCCACTGAAATCTGAAAGCGGGCGTTACCTGCCCTCCACTGGGGCGCGACAAGGTGGCTTCCCCGGGGGCGGGCGTGGCAGGAACTGGGCGGTCAGCTGCTCTGCGGAGGCGGCCGAGTGAACGGGACGAGGGATCCTGCTCTTCCGAGAGAGGGGGCTGGAGGAGGAGGACAAGGACAGACCCTCGTCCCCCTGGCGGTCAGAGCGAGAGCCGACGAGGGAGTCCTCGTCCTGAGAGCGGTCGGAGGCGGACGACAGCGGGTCCCTGACGAGGGAGGCTACAGCGGCGCCGCGGCGGTCAGAGAGGGACGGGGAGGCGGAGGGAGAGGGGACGGGGCCGTGGTGGCTGGCTTTCTTCTGCAAAAGTTTCTCCTTGGCAGACCCCGGAGGGGGGAGCTCGAGCAGGCTGGAGGGCTCGAGCACGGGGATGCGACTTTGCCTGCGGCTGGGGTCCTTGCGGGGGGCAGCCGATGAGGAGCAAGTGGGGGTAAGGGTCACGTTCCCCCTGTCTTCCTCCCTAGTATGTGCCTTCATCGCACATGGGACCGGGTCGGCGTCATTGTCGGGGTCTTTGTGTTTGGAGAGCTCTCCGGCGGCTTGGGCATTACAGGGAGGAGAGACGCAGCCGTTTGCAAAAAGGGGGCAGCGAGGAGAGAACTGAGGAGGCGAGTGGGAGGAGCGGGGGGAGTGGGGGGAGCGAGGCGAAGACGCGCGGCTTGGCCCGGGGCTTTGAGCTTTGGCGTGAGCGTCCCCGTTCGCCAACATCTCAGCCGGCGGGTCCGTCGGCGTCCCCGGATGGGTGGGCGCATGTTCCTGCTGGGAGTTGATCTGCTGAGTCTCACCTTCAGCGTCACCATGCCTCTCCAGCAGGAGGCACTGTGGAGCGCTGTCTGATCCCGACTGCGAAGACAGACCTGAAGGACGCTGAGCTGTCAGCTGGATGGGGAAGGGAGGTGGACGAGAAAAGAAAGGGGGAAAGCAAAAAAAAAACAAAAAAAAACATGTTATTCAACCAAGCACAACACTAAAAATGGGAATAAATTGCTTGTAATATAAAAAGGTCTGTTGCTGGTAGACCACAACATGTGGAGTTGTGCTGTAGATCCGCAGCAAGAGCCAGATGCAGATGTGTTGAACGGAGAGGAATTTGATATTAATCAAAGAAAATGGTAAACAAATGGTGATTAGTTGAGCAACGGCATGCAAAAGCATAGCTACCCAGTAATCAGACCGAAACACACGAGCGCTATGGCAGTGTCAGTCAAGCTTGTGAGTACTAAACCGGCAAGGACAGGAAACGTTCACGCAACTTCGCAGGGGGCTTCAGCGAAGAGAGGGTGAGGAACAAATACAGGGAGAGAGAGAGGAAGAGGAAGATAGAGAGGACAAAGACGATCTGAAACAAAAGAGACCATGCAACCTGTAGTCATGACTCCACATTCCCCAACAGGCATGCCACAGTCAGACAAAGACACACCCTACTAATCACATGACAAGGACACATCTGAACCCATGCTCTACCTGTCCTGCTCAATGCCCCCTCTACATAGATCTGGGAGAGAGAGCTGCACAAACAAGCCAAGCCCAAAGGAACACAAACACACACACACAAAAAAAAAAAAAAAAAACAAAAAAACAGCAATAACCAGCAACAGAGGAGAAGACGGAAACCAAGAAAGAAAAATATATAGAACAAATTTGTTCCTACGGGTGTAGAGAGAGAGGAAGCGGAATGGAGGCTCGTTTGTTTCAACGAGAATAGTGATGGGAGGCTCATCACCTGCTGAAGCTGGGCGCGGGTGATGCGTATGACTGAGGGGAACTTGGCGTTGGCGGCGCCGGCGGGGATGGCCGGCAGTTTCCTGTGACTGGGCGAGCGAGCGCCCGGGGAAGGGTTTGTTGGCAGAGGGAGGGAGGAGGTGGAGGAGGACGGGCGTTCCTGCTGCGGCTGCTGGTCGGCGGACTGGCTGCGCCTCAAGCCCGCGGACTGGCGCAGGTGCAGCGGGTCCGACAGCGTGGTGAGGAGGGTGTGAGGGCTGGGTGAGCGCAGCGGGATGGGGCTGGACGTCCGCGCCAAGACCTCCTCGGGCAGAGACGGAGGAGAGGTGGGGAACTAAGAGAGGGGAGGGGGATCGGGAGAAGTGGTGGGGTTGGAGAGAGGAGGCGACTGTGAGACTGACGAGGGTGTGTGAAGATGGAGGTGGAGGTGGAGTGAGGTGAGGTGGAAGAGACAAGCTGCTCTGGCAGGGAGCGCCACAAGGAGTTGCTTTAATTGAAACTGGTAGAGGATGGAGGAGGTGATGTGGGAGCTTTAAGTAAACGGGATCTGCATTTATTCAAATGAAAGACGGTGGTTCTGCTTGTAGGAGGTTGAGAGAATTGGCAATAAGTTCTTTCAGTGTCTTGCAAAAGTACTTCTGTGCAGCCAGTCACATTAAAAACACAAACTTCTTTTTTTTTTTTTCTTTTTCCAGAGTGGGAGGACATGCCAAAGGTCAAAGGCCAAGGACTGAGGCCTCCATACATCCATCGCCTCGCCTTAAAATCACAAACTTGAATGGATATTTTGCGGATTTTACGAGATTGTACAAAACTACAAGGTTTTCTTTCCCTTGTTTTACAAATACAAATACAAATATTGTGGGATGCATTTGTATTCAGCCCCTCTTAGTCTGACACTACTAAATAAAATCCATGGCAAACAATTGCCTTCATAATTCATAAGTGGTGTCAATTTAAATCCTTTGATTTAGGCCAATTTCACTCATTTTAAATAAAATTTATGCTGCTATAAGCATATAGGCCTGTCACAATAACTAATTTTACCGCGATAAACTATAATACTGCCGTTTTGAGGTCATTTTCAAGTAACACATTGGCAACGGCGTAATAAAGAAAGTACATCCTCTCAAAAACTAATTGACTTTAATTTCTAAAAATCATTTAAGATATTTTAACTGTCCAAAACGAATAAAAAAAAAAAAACAACAAATAAAATCTGTAAGCAAAACTGTCCATCAAACAAACAGGCCAATTGAGACCAACGTACCACAATGAGGCTATTTGTCTCATTTGTTTGTTCTAATTTATCGTGCAGTTTATTGGTTTATTGCTGGTTGCCAAAGGCCTATTTGAACATTTCTGTTTTATTTTCACATTTTGTAAATAGCTGGATTTATATTTATTCCATTCCATCCCCACAGCATGATGCTGCCACCACCATGTCACATCTTTTATGATGGGCTTGGGTGTCCACTGTTTGGCCTCATCTGCATTTAGACCGAGATTAAATTATAAAAAGGCAATCTATTTAATGAGGAGGTAGCGTCATCAGTATAAAGCATATAGTCTGAATCAAACACTCTGAAGTTTGTGTTTGCAAAGTGACAAAATATGAAACTTATCAAAGGGGTATGAGTATTTTTGCAAGGCACTGTAAGTTTTCAAAGTTGAATTATACCAGATTGAGAAGAAACGTAACACTGAACTGAGTTCTCTACTGTGAGAACATGAATAGCAAAACAGCAAAAAAATATTTAACTTAGAAAAACCAAAAAAAGCCTTTGGAAATTAATTTGTGAAGCAAAATAGGAAAAAAACAACGAATACAGCAAACAAAGTAAAGCTGTGCACAACTACTCCAAACGAAACAAAATGTTAAAATCATAAGCTCTCTTTGTTTTTTTGTCCCATGCTGTGATCTGATTGAAGCACTCAGGTTGAGCTGTATCTGTTTCTAAAATGTACACAGGTGAAAGAGCAAGCAAACACAAAGCGGTAACATTTACCTCCAGACTACGGCAAGATGCAGCTGGTGGGACACTGATTGTTGTATGATAAAAGCATCGAAGTTCTAGACCTAGAACTCTGACTCTGTGCAGCTTTTTATCCTTGTAAAAATGCTGACTACAGTCATCATCATGTTTGGCATGTTGTGAAGCGGCCTGCCAGTGAAGGGCCTTACCTGAGTCAGGATTCCCTCTGCCAGAGCTTCAGCTGGGCTGGTTGGGGTAATCGGAGGCAGAGCCCCCGCGGGGCCCACACTGAGCTCCAACTTGTCCACTTTTACGCTTCCTTTGGAGGAAGCTGCACTTTCTTGCTTAGCTTTGCCAGAGTTAGGGGTCGGGCTTCTCTTTTCCCATCCGGGAGACGCTTCCTCTGGTTGGAGCACCTCTGGCTCCTCATCCTCCTCCGATGGGCTTGTTGTGGCTTTGGCTCCAGGGGAGCCGGTGGGTCGCTCCACCATTACCCACTCCCTTGAGTCAATGTCCTGCCTCCCAGAGCTCAGATTAAGCGCCACAAAGCCACCGCTACTGGCCGCCCCCTCTCCCTGCTCAAAAGACCCCGGTGACGCCGGTTTAGGAGAACCAGCTCCGGACAGAAACTCCTCGTCGTAATGCCAGACGCGATCAGGGCGCTCCCCTCCAGCTTGACCCTGAGTTGCTGGGATGACAGCAGCCTCCTTGCCCTGGTGCTGGGCGCTAAGCTGCTGTTTCCCCGAACTAAAGGGCAGATGCAAAAAAAAAACAAAAAACAAGAAAATGAAAACAACTCTGTGGTTTAACCCAAAGAAAAGTTTTGTACACACTGCAGAAATACAAATTCTTACCAAGTAGTTTTGGTATGCTTTCTAGTGCAAGTATTTTTACTACACTTGGAATAAGCCAAATGTAAATGTTAACTTTTCAGCAAGATATAGAAGCATGTTTTAAGTAAGCAATTCCTCATTGTTGATTTTAAAGAAGTGGTATTTTCACTGCCAAATAATGTCACTTCTAACATTTTTCTCAGAAGTGAAAAGATCTGCCCGTGGAACCAGTACTTGCTCAAAAGTTACTTGCGAGTCAGTCTTGTCTTATTTCAAGTGTACTCAGATATTTGAAACAATAACTCGACTAAATCTGTTTGGTACGATTGTGTGTTTGTTGCAGTGTGACGTCTCATAAATGGGCTGAATTGCGGGCACACTTTACCAGTTATCCAGGAGACGCTCCGGGCTGGACTTTGACTCCAGGCCCAGCCTCCTCTCCAGGTCCAAGCTGTGGATGTTGCGGAGCTTTCTCAGCAGAGGGCCCTCCCGATCGGAAGCCACTGCCTCCGAGTGTGGTTTGACGGGAGAGCCCAGACTCGGTCCTGCGTAGGGGCTCTGGTGTCCTTGTCTGGCCTGCTTATTGCCTTGTTCCTCCTCCGCAGCCTGGGGAGCCAAGAAACGCTTTTCACGACTTTGAACAAATTTCAAATTCAACATAAGCTGCCCCTGAAACTATTACGTTATTGAGATTATTACAACCACAAACAAATAAAACTGAAAAACCACACACGACTGCAATAATAAATAAAGTGGATTTTGACATCCCTGTAAACACAATTGCTCTTCAAAAAATATTAATCATCAGAATGGATGTAATGTATCAAGTTGATTGATTGATTAACTGCTTATTGTGGCAGGGTTGCATTTGCATGTGAATAAGCCGCTGCAAGTCCTTGCAAAAATATTTATACTCCTTTAATTTTTCTACATTTTGCCATGTCACGATCTCAAAACTTGGCTTTATTTATTGGAATTTTTATAAGAAAATAATGATGATAAAGGGTATACAGTTTCAACTTTTTTATCAGAGAAAAGTCTGAAAAGTATGGAGTGCATTTGTATTCAGCCTCCTTTACCATGACAGATTTTAATCTGTAAAAAAAAAAACACACACACACGCATCAATCTCCTTGCACTTCACAATAATGGGGTACTTGGCGTTGCTCTGTAAAACGAAAATAAACTGTGCGAGCCCCCTTGCGAGGCGCAGAGGGTAGCCGAACCTTCCAGTGTCCCATCCTGATCCGGTTCCGGTTTCGGTCCAGCTCTTCCCAGACGTCGGCCTCCTGGTTCCGATGCTGGTGGTGGGGGGAGCCCGGCACGCGGTCGAGGCCGGGGTTGTTCTCCACGTCGCTGAGCTGCTCGTCCTGCAGAACCTCATCCGTGTTCTCCCTCAGCAGGTCGCCGGGGATCAGAGAGGCGTTCACCATGCTGCAGCAACGAAATGTGCACACGCTGTTCAACTACTTTCAAAAAGGAAGTTCGCCGCAGAGATCGCCGGGGGATTTTGGCCTCCTACCCCATCTGCGCGGGAGTGAGTCGGGTGTGATGCTGCGGCGTTGTGGCGCTGGCGCTGATGGTCAGCGTGCCATCCGTGGTGGTTCGCTCCCAGTCGTAAGAGTCGTTTTCCACAACGTTGTAGGTTTTCATGCTGTTGTCAAACACCGACATCAACAGCTGCAACAACACACAGAGGTGTGATCTACCTTGTCGTCTGAGTATTTCTGTTCAGGAAAATCCATCAGAGCTTTTCGAATATCGACCTGGTAGTCAGGCTTGGTGTAATAGTCAAGGCTGCAAATGTGTTCCAAGAATACACCAAACTCTGCCGGCAGGTGTTTGAGCATCAGGTGATGGTCGTAAGTCTCCTTCAGTTTCCCCACATGTTCCTGAGATTAAACAGAATCTCTTTAATTAATATACCAAATATACCATTTGGTATATGTCACCACTCAAGCTTATCGGTAATCTGCACAAGCTTTTGATTTGAGAGCAGCCTCACTTTGTCTTTAATCTTCCTCCACGGCAACTGCCCGACCAAAAACTCCACCAACATGTAGAAGAGAGACCACAGGTCATCATGACGACCCATCTCCTGCAGAATGAAATAAACGTGTTTATATTTCATCATGATGACAAAAGAACTGAAATGATGTTGCAGCAGCATCAATAAAATTATACACTTTTCCATGTTTTCCCAGTTAAGCTTTGCGGCTAGAGAATCACTTTTACGCTTTTTGTGCCTGACGTTGCTAATTAGCCTCAAACCTAAATTTCACTCGTATCGTAGGTCAAATCTTCATACAGTTGCACCCAGATTTTTCTTTACAGAACCGGGTCAGCTTTACTTACACCTTCACATTTGTGCATTTCTTTGTGTTGCTAGATTACTGGCAGCACAAAGAAATCGAAACGTGACAGAAGGAGTGCAGACACTTTCGTTACTGTAAATCCACACTGGGTAGCATATCAGAGTGAGCAAATATTAAAACTCTTTGGACGGATACTGACCTTGTTCTTGTGCGCATTGACAGAGGCATAGCGAACTGTTCCCCTGAACCCTGCGACTGGACGAGGCTAACAAATAAAATATATGGCAATTAAATTCATAGAAAAACAAAAACTCTGGAATGTGTTAAAGACTAGAGCAAATCTACATTTGGCAAAATTCTGCCCCCCAAAAATAAAAGGAACTTTATGCATAAATCAATAAAAAGAGTGATTTAACAAAATATGTTGTTTTTGACATTCAATACTGCACTTGGACTACTTTCTGTTAAATGCAGCACAGTAGAAAAAAACAACAAAGACACACAGAGTCCAGCTAATAATCCCCATGTTTGCAAACTTTTAAAAACAGTTTAATTATTTATAGCAAGAATGAAATTAGAAAACTTTTCAGTAAAACAATGAAACAGTTTAAATACAAGTTTCTAAACTAAATGCAGTGAAACTGTGGTAGATGGGCTATTTTTTATTTATTTTTTTGGTCTGACCAATGATATTGATACAGAAATTTGATCTAGAGCCTTATGATCAATAAATAGACAGCAAGAGAGGAATCCACTTACAGGGCGGACCTCCTGACAGGAATTGGTGAATTGCCGAGCCAAGCCAAAGTCCAGCATGTAGCAGGTCCGACAGGTACTGGGGAAGCGGCCCATGGCAAAGTTGGACTGAAATAGAAAGAGGTCGGACATGAGGAGATAAGAAGTGCACAATCTATGAGACAATAACTTTCTGTGTAGTTTATTTCTATCCCTGAGGATGATGAGAGGATCTGAGACAGAGATTCATAGGGTCAAGGATATTTACATTCTGGTGCCTCAAGGCATTTAAGCTACCCTGCTGCTGAGTCAGCTCACTGAAAGTCACCAACAACAAAAATCGGCATTCAGTAATGAAGAAAAAAAATGCATCACACAAAGGCTTTCGGGCAATTCAGGTTAAGTAAAATTTCTACATGTCATGCAGTTTAAATACTGTAGACCAGAGTTGTCGAAAGTAGTTGACAGCAACACCAATTATTTGTCTCCAAACAAACATGAAACACTTTTTGTATGCTCTTGCCAGGCCCACCCACATCTATCCAGTGACTTTCACTCAAAAGCCTGCTGCACCCAAAAATACTTTACTAAGCTTGGTTAAATGTAGCAGGCATTTTCAAAGAAAGAGTGACCAAAACCCTGGTTTCATTGCTCAAAAACTCAATTTTCATGTTTTCCCAGTTAAACTTTGTATAAATAAAATATATATAAAAATAAATTCCATAAGGCAAACCTGGAAAAACAAAACAACTTTCAAGTTTTGGATCTATTATAATTTACACGACCTTTTCTAACAAGTCCAACTACTTTATTTGTTTAATTAAAGTCTTTTATGCTTCACTTATTATTAAATACATACAATATACGTATATTTTTTTGGCCATCAAGTTGTTTCTGACTTGATGAATTTTTCCCATGTGACAAAATATTTGTACCCCCCTGCCGTAGACCATAAGGAAACAACAATAGGTTACAGGAGACAAACTGCCAGGATTTTGCAACGCACCGGTTTGATGTCCCGATGCAAAAATCCAACAGAGTGGATGCTCTCTATGGCCTCCAGGATCTGGCGCCCCAGACGCAGGGTGGTGCTGATGCTGAACGTTCCCCGAGGCATGCTTCTCCTCAAATCTGCCAGGTTTCGACCCTGAAAGAGCGCACGGGTTACATGTTGGTCCAGCGGCAGGTTTGAAAGACGACTCTGACCCCAACGACCCTCACATATCAGGTGATGCTACAGAAAGGAAACTTCACAGCAGCCGCTCCAGTACCAGAACAATCCCTGCGGATATTTAGATTCAAATCGCAAGATAAATAAATAAAACTCCTAGAAGCAAAAACTGCCTGTTATGTTTAGCACAATGAGTTGGCTAACGGCCTTATCTGGTCGGGTGCTCAGCTGCGGTTTTTCCAAGATAACTGTTTCTGCTTAACTCCCTCCAGTGTGTAGTTTGCAGGTTAGTAAATACATTATTCACGAGAAGCCGTATTTTTAGCCTTTTCTGAAATATTTATTTGGCTCACTTTTCTGTAAGCAGCTCCCAGACATGAGTAACATGCAGCCGGGGGACGTGCATGACGCGTGTCAGGTGTCAGCGCAAAGTCAAACCGAGATCAGAGCAAGGAGACTCTTTTTGGGCAAACCTAGAGTCACGTTAGATGAGTTGGATGACATTAGCGGATATATAACCGAGCACAGTGAGCTATTGTTATCTCTCAGTATGGCTTGCTGTTGTTTCCGAAAAGTCAATAATAGGTAGAGGTGAAGTGAGTAATCAGTTAGTGACTGAATTGGGCCAATTTCTATCTTGACCTTTCTATTCTGATCTGTGATGGACTGTTCAATAACTCCAAAAGACAATCTTTTTCTTACTTGAGTGCCAAGTAAGTCCTGCTTACAACACTCTCGAGTGCGGAAGTTATTACAAAGGGAAAATATTACCCACTGAGAACTTTTCACCTCATTTTTACTAATCACCGAACGAGGTTCACCTTTGTGTCCTTATTGGACAAACTTGTCTAAAAGACAAGTTTGTCCAAGTTCTTGTGGCGGTGCATTTCCCAGCATGGTTTTAATTATACTGGAAACGTTTGATCAGACTGGTTTTAATGTGTGACATTTTAAGGATTTATGCCTGTACGAGTGTTTTGGCAGGAAATTAACTCAATGTGTGTGTGGTTTGCCACAGTATCTCCGCATCCCTGCCATTATGCGTGCCGGGAACCAGATGGTTCGGATTTTACCGTGAAGCAAAGTCCCTTGTACTTTCTATTTACGACGCAGGGAGCTTATATTAGACCTGGAGTTTTCAAGTCGGTAGACGTCATATTTTTTCACGTTGTAAAAACAAATGAAAGTAAGATACTGTTGAGTTTTTTTTTTATATATATTTGGAGTGAAGACATTCCTCCATGGCTGACTCTGTGGTGTATCCCTCCACCAACGCTGACCTGAAGCTCCATCACCACGTAGTTGAAGCGGTCGTTGCGGCCACATCCCACGAAGCGACACACGTGATCTTTACCTGGGAGGACGAGGATAAAATTGTTTCAAGCTCACAGCCTGCATTACAACCTCACCAGACAACAATACTGGTATTTTTGCCACAATAGATGTGTCTGTACTCAGTGAGGTTTTTTCACATGGGCAGTATTGGGGGCAAGATGATATCAGAGGGTGCCAGAAGCACATTAGAGTGAAAATAAATAAATAAAAATCTCTAAGCTGGGCCCAAAACTGGTTTTTAATTTTTCATGGTAAAAAGCAAGAGACTTACTGAATAATTGTCATCTGGTATTATTAGCATGCAGCCGCTTGGACCTAATAAGTACAGCATGAGCTGGAACTACAACAAGCAATAGTACAGAACAGCAACATGATGAAACATTCGTACGCATTAAACTGTCATCCAAATCATATGTGGGGCTACAATAAGGTTAACTAATGCCATTCGTGATGAGCGCGGAATGACCATGGAGCCTTCGAATGATACTGTTGGTCAACGTTTACTCTCGACATTTGCACAGATCAGCAGTGTTGGGGTTCAGTTCGTCTCAAGTTGCATGCAGCCTCCCTTAGGAAGCAAGAGAATCACAGGGCTGCAGGTCAAGGCCATTAGACAGCAAACACGATCCCAGCTCATCGATTTTCGTCTCAGGTGGGCAAAAGAAACACGACATGCTGGTTAAAAAGCAAGAAAGTAGAGTTTGGAGTGAAAAGAAAAAGAATGGAGTGAGAACAGATTAAACCTATACAAAATTTTCTGATGAATTGTGAGAAGGAATTGAGAATCAGGACACTCGAGCAAATATAAAGGGTCACCCAAACTGAGTTTCAGACGTATCAGATGACTTGTATTACACCGATCTGTCCCCAGGACTGAACCACACATCTCTCAAAATGCCATTTCCTGTGTAAAAATGGTTTTCTTCTTTCCAACAACAGTCAGCCAATGATAAAAACACATGCATGTTGAATCAAATCAATAGGTCACTGTGTCGGCGTGGATTGATCGGTTCTTGTAAATGAATCCGCCGAGCCCATTTCCGCTCACCCTGGAGCTTCTTCAGGACGGCGACCTCCATCTTTAGCACTTGTTTGGGCTGCTGGGCCGATTCCACCTTCAGCGCCACGCTGCCCCGCGTCAGCAGGTCCTGTGCCTCGTAGATCTCCCCGAAACCGCCACCCCCTATCTTCTTTACCTGGGGGGAGGGAGACAGACACAAGAAGGTTAAAAACAAACAGGACAACACTGAGACAGAAATGGGATTATGTTCAGAAAAGGCTATCTGATGATTTTATAGCAAGAAGGAGAAGATTTGCATTCAAACAGCATGTAAAGAAGACAAAAATAAAGACAGTATTATGACTTCAGTGGTGGCAAAGTGTTACTTTTACAACTGGGAACAGCTGGATACCATCTCAAAAGCTCAGTAATACTTGATAGAAGTCGAAAAGGAGGCTTCATGGACGGAGAGCAGGACCAAAGAGTAGAAAGAGAGGAAGTTCTGATCATCTCTTCCATTCGTCATAAAGGAGCCATGTTGAAGACACTGCCAACATTTTCAATATAGTGCTCCAGTTAGATAAACTGCAACTTCCTGGTCTACGTGCAAAACCGTAGCTAGCTGTAAGCTAACACGGCCCGTCGCATATGGAGCGCACCAGCTGCGTTGTAGAAACGTGACAACTGCAGCGTCACGCAACGTCCAAACTGCCGTCCGCAAAAGGTTTTTGAAGAAGGATTTCAGTTTCTAGATGTGCAAACGTTTCCCGTCGCCGTGGAGGCAGAACGCGGTTCAACAATATATTAGGACGGGGAGGATGAATACAAATGTCCGCCACACTTTTAAGATTTCTGTTCGTAAACTATTCGGACAGAATCATGCGCGCCATTGTGTCGGTGTTTTTGAAATACGTTAAGATCCCAAAAAAAATTAAGTTTATGGTTTTAACGGAACAAAATGTCAAGAAAGTTCTAGACATTGGAATACTTTTGCGTTTCTGATTAGAATTTTAGAAAAAAAAAAAAAGAATTTACAGTTTTTATTATTTTCATGAAATGGTAATTGTTAGAATGTTTAAAGACTACTTGATTACAAAGAGTAAACGTTATGGGATAACACAATGAACTCAACTCTGTCTTCTATGAAGCTGAATTATGCGTACTCTCATTATGTACTGAGCTCTGTAGATTATCTCATTCTCCAACTCCTCTACCTTTCATCCCCGCGGCATTCTTAAGTCTTCATTTTCCCCTCCGCGCCCCGTGTCCTTCACTGTCCTCCAAGCTGTCGTGATGTTTGGAGTCACTCTGAGAGCTGGAGGGGTGGATTTAGCTGCAGAGTCCTTACGTAACCCGGCTGCTGAGAAGACAGGAAGCGGTGCCGGGCTGCCAGTTGGGGACAACTGCATCACATGGCACCGAAACGGGCCCCCGGCACCAGGAGACACCAGCCTATGGGGGATCTTCTGCCTACAGCACACTGCGCTGCCACAAATAGCAACACTGGCTATTTTCGGATTTCCCACACTGCAGCAGGAAAACTTGGACGAGGAGGTAAAAATGTCAAACTGCAGAAGTTGTAGGTGAGGGAAATTTATTTATTTATTTATTTTTGCAAGGACAAAGACTCATTGTTAGTAACACAAGGGGGCTAACTTGGGACAGGCGGTGATGGGGCCTGGACAAACACGGCGCCTATTGTAGCTGGAAGACAACCCGCTTACCACTTTCCATCGCTCCTTGACCAGGGAGAGGCCGCTCAGGATGTCAGCTTGCTCCGCTCCCCCGCTCATCCCGTCTGCGGATCCGGGGACGCTGCCCTCGCTGCTGCCCTTTGACCAGGAGCCTCACACTGGGCCGGGCATTTGGAAGCTGATGCAGAGACCTAGAAAAGTCCAGGAGACGCACAAAACTGTCAGGGATCTAAAGGATCTGTGCAAAATGTGGTTCAGCTGGTGAAGTATGACACAGCTGCAAAATTTGTAAAAAAATAATTAAAAAAATTTTTAAAAATCATGATAGGACAGGACTAAGGCCTCGCAGGCCGGAGCTGAACGATATTCAGCCATCACAGCTGCTGCAACAACTGTTCCTCCAGCAGCTGTCCTTCTGGACAAACGCGCCAGCAAAAGCCCCACATCTTAAATTACAAACAACATGTCAAACTGCTAGGATCCCCTTTCACAGAAAACATGCCACATAATTGTCTAAGCTTTTTATTTTTTGCAACATTTGGCATTAAATGTCCTTTTCCAGTGGATGCGTGGAGCAACACAGGCAGACACTCACGAAAAGATTGATTTTTGACTGTTGAAATCTATTAGCTTCTTCAAATTTCTACATAAGACATAAAGCTCCATGGGTGTTAAAAAAAATGGTAAAATAAGGCTAAACTGCAATACCAAATCATTTGATGTGTATTCACACTCCTTGAGCTTATTTATGCGGAGCATCTTATCTTCAAACTTTGATGCATTTTATAGGACCTTCTTTGACAGGCTAACAGAAAAATGAACATAATTGTAACGTGGTTGTAATGACATTAAAAGATAAAAATAAAATAAATGTGTCTCCAAAGTGGGGCACATATTTGTTTCCAACTTCTGGAGACGATACATTTTTGCTTCAGATGTTTTCCTTCTTTTGTTTTCCTGCCAATAAATGATTCGAACCAAGAAACAAAGCGCTGAGACGCTACAGAGGGGCCTAATGCTGGAGGGTTCGACTCTGCGATTAACGGGAGAAAAAGGATATGCTGGCATTAAAAGCAACGCAGAGCCCTACTACTTTCACAGAGAACACTTTTGTAAGAAATTTACAAAACGTGACAAATTAGAGGTAGTGTTACGTGCATGCACATTTTACATAAAAAAAAAAAAAAAACTGTGTTTATAGAAGCAGCCTGAACTGTTGCTTCCCCAGGAAAAGCGGCGTCTTTATTCCCACGTTACACAACATCTGTGTCAGAGATAAGCCTTCCTCTGGAGAGCACACGCTGGCAACTTCCTCTGCTCTGCCTTCAAACACGCGGAGCAAGACCGACTTCGATTCATCATTCTGCACACGCCGCCACCGAGGGTTACGCAACAACCTCCAAAAAGCCACTTGGTTGCAGGGCGAGAGTTGGTGAGGAGGAACCCGACCAGCGCTGCAAGATGGATCTAGGTCTGGGAAACTGTGGGGATGACGAGCAGGAAAGGTTTGGGCTCAAGAGTTAAAAGGCTCTGGAGAAACTAATGTCATTGAGAAGTATCTTTTTTTTTTTCCTATGATCTAAATTAGACCGTAAGAATCATTAAACTGTGCTAGATTGTATAAAATAAGCAGATAATTATTCATTTTTGTGGGCTTTTTTTCTCTTTTTTTGTAACCCATTGAGCTGCACACCATATGCATTTTCTTTTTTAAATAAATCTCGATATTTTTTTTTCTTTTAACAGTTTCACATTTTTTTCTCCAAACATGAGTCCATCTCATAAGTGGTCCAAAAAAACCGACTTTACAACAAATTAGTATGAGCTGAAATAAGCTGTATTAACACGCAAAATTTCAATATTTTTTGTGTACGATACACACTATCCGCTTGTAGGATAAGCAGGGGAATGCTTTTCAAGGTATGATGGCAGAGAGTGAAGCGCGGCTGTTTTATGGCGTTAACACTTTTATGAAAGACATCAGTCATTTAAGCTACTACAACGACATTAATATAATAATAATACATCAATTACGAATCGCATTAATCGAATAATCAGACTTTGACACGAGAAAATGTGTCTGAAACACCAAATGCTTTTTCAGCTTAATTCAGAAAAAAATCTAGGTTTTTTTCAAGCAGCTGACCAGCAGTGTGCAGCAATAGGTGGAGAAGGAGCGGCACTGGATCACTCCACGCACCATGCAGCTTAAGCCGTGGCAGAACGTTCTCTGCCATTCTATCAAAAAGACTTAATGATGCAATAATGGTAAATTTTAGACAGGGGGTAAATACCTCAAGCAGGTACGCTGGATCAAATCAAAGCTGCTTCTTTTTTTTTCTAAGAGTGTTTATGATTGGGGGAAAGCCAAAGACCAGTGATTCTTGAGACGGGGCAATGGCGATTGTGTAGCCTGTACTTGGTCAAATTAAAGCCATCTTCCTGCAAATTCAACCTCAGTCACTTGAATCATTGCAAATATGTGCATGCTTTAAAGCCGCATCTTGCTCGACGTGAAGGTTCACGCGCACAGTGACGACGAGGCGGGGCCGTGCTCCTCCTCCTCATCAACGCCAGCTCGTCGTCGACAAATAGGAGAAGGAAGACGACCCTTAAACCCTGGCAGCGTGCTCCTCTCTCTCCTACTGTGAATCCCCTTCCTGACCCAGCATTTCCATGGCGATGCTGGTGCAGAGCCATTTTCGTCCGCTGACGTGGCTCGTCACCGCCACCTCTGCCCTTTGCGCTCAGCTGGAGAGCAGCGCGTTTTCAGCTTAGCCATCAGGAAAACCTCCAATCCACGCGTGTGCATCAGCACAGGCATGAGGGGGGGCTGGTGTGTGTGTGTGTGTGTGGGGGGGGGGTGTCACTCGGCAGAACGCGTTCAACGTTTCCTGTGTGGCAGCGGGTCTAATCTTGGAGTGGCCTAGTTCAGCATAGCTGGACAGAGGTACACGTCCAGAGCTGCAGCTGGACGAAGAGTCTGCTTTGAAACTGGACAGAGGCCAGCTCCGGCATGCCCTGGCTGCACGCTGTGTCCGAGATCAAGGCAGGCTTTAGGCTGGCTGAGAATGAGGAACCCAACATGATTATTTAACACCCCCCCAAAAAAAAAAAAAGGGTTTGAGAGAAAGTGTTGTAGAAGGCGAACCGGAATGTTTTTTTTTTTCTCTGACTAACTCAGGAGGAGTCTGGATTATATGCAAGACATAATAAAGTACTCTGAGCTTTGTTTTCCAATTACATTGTGCATTATTTGTGACCCCAGCTGGAACACATCTGGAATTATTGTAATACAACAGTAGCATGGAATAGCGACTCGACAATCCACACAGTCTAGTTAGGACTGAGAGGTATGGACTAAAAATAAAATCTCAGCTTTTTTTCCTCACTTTTTTTCCTCAAAAAGACATTACAAGTAACAGAAAAAACCAACTTAAAAACAACCTGCTTTTCTATCAATGATCAATTCTGTGAGCTGAATGAAGCTGTAAAACGTGCTTCTCAAACACGATGGTAGGCTTTGGGTGGCCTGACAACCCAACGTCTTCATTGGTGAAAAAAAAAAAAACCCAAACGAACCTATCCATATTTTCCAAGAATTAAAATCTTCAAAAACAGGAAATTCGATGAAACCGTTACAAAAGAAATCTACTTGTCGCCCGGCTCTCACTCACATCAGACCTGCGTTGCAAAACATAAAGAGTCTAGATCTGACTTGACCTTGAAAGTCTTTGGGACTCAACACACACTCCAGTCGTAGAAATTTTTTATCTATTTAATCGGTGGTAAAAACAAGCAAGTAAGCATAGACCAAATGATTAGCGCCGTCCCATTTGAGTCACTGTAACCACAACCACTGCTTGACTCCAACGACCTCTAAGCTCGGCAAGGTTGAAGTGAATTGGGGGGAACGACGACCGCCTTGCAAACCATAACTGGTATGTACCAAGTTTGTTCGACAACACTCACAGTTTTGTGGCCCCAAAGGAAAAGTGTCCCACCACTGGAATACATGTCAAAAGGAAAATTTAATGATTGAATAAGCAAGAAGAAAAATACAAATGGATATATGTTAGACGTATCTTATTTCCTGTGATGAATTCTCACGATGCCTAATGCCTTTTTTAGAGTAACATTTTTGAGAAAACCACAATCTTACGCGCTCCAAGTGTTAGGTGTGCGTTTATCTTTGGACTCTACAACGGCTTCAAGAGGACGTTAAAGACTTCACTGCCTTAAGAAGAAAACATGAGTAGTTTCCTGCTGGCTGCATGGCAAGCAATGGATGTTTGCAGATGTTCAGTGCGGTTCGGTTTTTCCATTTAAGAGGTCAGTTTATGCTGAGGTTGCTGTTTTATTTGTTTATTTTTGCCTAAAGTTGTTTGATGACTGTCTGCTTTGGTGGAAGAATATATTCAGAGTTGATCATTTGCTCCAGATCAGATAAAATAAGTGTGATATTGGAGAAAATTGCATTTTTTTTTTGACAAAGGCGTGTTTCATTTGCAGGGTTAATGTGTGGTATTCCTTTAACAGCTAAGTAAAAACTTTGCAGAGATTCAAAGTCACATTGAAGGTAAAAATGAATGAAGTCCAACAAATGCAGGGTATGTTTATTTGCGTGCACGTCGTCCATCATACCTATCATGCAGAATGTGCAAATTACAAACTGACAAAGTATTATTATTATTATTATTATTATTATTATTATTTTATTTATTTATTTTTCTTTGTCAAAATCTGTTTAAAAGACAACTGCGTACAGGGAGGTAGAATAAGGATTGCTTCAAACCTTTTTGGTTTCTGGGTTCAGTTTACATGAATTTGTTTTTTTTTTTGCACATGATGGTTGCTAGTTTTGTCTATCAGAAAACTAATAAATAATAATAATAATAATAATAAAGACAAGCAAACCCAATCGACTGAAACAGAATGTCCCGCAAACATTTGCGATGGCAATGATGCGGAAGACGTGAACCGCCGCTTCAAACAGCTGACAGCATCTTCTTTGTTCATAAACACGACAATCTGACTGCAGGGTGTTGTGTGCGTCTGGCCTGTGCAAAGACCGTGTATCACAACAGGCAGCTCTGAAGTTAATTCTGACGCATGCTACTACTTTCAATAAAAAATAACAACACGCTAAATGTATGATGAAATCTATATTTATTATATTTCTAATACATCTTTGAGTGTCCTTTCACTGAATGTCCTTCAGCCTGCAGAAACACCTTTTGCATAACTTTTGACAGATTTCTAGTGTCAAAGGTTAGTGATAAACATGATAAATGTGCACCCAAAAGCATTATAGAACATGTTAATAAATCCTAATATGTAAAATGATTGTTTATACAGGAAAGTGTGGCCGGTGCGTTTAAATTGGGAGGTTGGGGGTAGGTGGGACGCTACCTGGGGCCTCACAACACCTTGGGCCGGCTCTGGAGGATCAGACCTGGATCTGCACGTTTAGAAGCGTCTAAACAGCTGCATTTGGTTCACTGAAACGATTGAAATAATATATGTGCAATGAGAATAAACACAAACCAAAGGGGGGAGAAAAATGGGACTAACAGAAATCGCTCCGATTCCTCTTTAATGTCCATCTGCGCCATTTCATCTCCCCCTCATGCTGCGTCCGGGGGGGGGAAAAAATATCCAAATGAGCTTTCCTCCCTTCTTCCCCGCGATGACCCAACCGGCTACTTCGGCGGAGAGCTTGTTGCCCCGCACGGCGAGGTCGGCCGGGGGTTTGCCTTGCCACAGCGGATTTTACTCAAGCGCGTCCACGGGCCACGCGAAACTCATCATCCTGCCTCACTCGCCGCGCCGATGAGGTTAAACCCTGCGCATGCTGCTGCAGGCGGCCGCTTCTCAGTGGCGGAAACAACAGGCATAACCGAGAGGCGGGGATGAAGGGGGGAGGTAAAAAATAAATAAATAAATAGAGGGGAACCTTACCTCGGCGATCCTTGATCCAAAGAAGAGCCGGGTGTGGTTACAAAGTATCCTCAAGGTTTCGAGAGGAATGCCATGACGCGCGGACCGTCCATAGGGATCGGCAGAGGGGAGGCGGTGTTGGCGTGATCGGAGGAGACAAAAAAAAAAAAAAAAAAAAAAAAAACCCAAACAGAACCGGTGCGAGGGAGAAATATAGTGGTGTGTGTGTGTGTGTTTGTGTGTGGAGGGACGGGGAGAAAGGTCGTGCGGTTCCCTCTTCTGCTTGTCACCTCAGCATCTCGCTGCGGATCCGTGACGTGACAGCTCCTCCTCGGTGGTCATCCGCTTTCCTGCGCGCGCGCGGCCCCGATCCGATCGCCCCTCGCAACAAGCAGCTCGGCCGCGCGCGCGCACGGAGAGACATTTAAAGCGCGCGGTGACGGAACCCTCGACGGCTCCACGCATGCGCAGTGGAGGGTCCACGAAATCAGTTTTGTATTTTTATTTTTATTTTTTGACGATTACTAATAATATGTTGTCATTACAACATCTGACTGTGAACTTTTACTTACAAAAATAAAAAAAATACATCGTCTAAAATCCAGTGCGTCCAATGAGATGATGCAACCAGTTTCATTTGGAAAAAGTGCAATTTTCTAAAAGACCACTAGAGGGAACCCGTGAGCTGAAGACAATATCTGCAACTTCAGGCTTAGAAAATGTTAATCTGTTTGACCCCAAGGGTCAACTGTGTGAAATCCCACGTCATTATTGGAGGGGGAACATAAACAGGAAAATTCATGCAATTTTTTTTTTTTTGGGTCAGTGAAATTCCAATGAAATACAACATAAAACGCAGTTTAAAAAGCTTGTCAACCACATTCAAGCTGCAGGACCAAAAATGACTAGTAATGCACATCAAAAATGTTTTATTCTCAATCAATCAATCAATCAATCAATCAAATTTTATTTGTATAGCACATTTCAGCAAGGCATTTCAAAGTGCTTTACATCATAAACACAAGAACACAAAGTCATGCATCATGGAATAAACAATACATTGTTACATATTACATTTCAAATACAATTCTAAACAGTGTGTTTTTAATTGCGATTTAAAAGAAGTCAGGGTTTCTGCTGTTTTACAGTTTTCTGGAAGTTTGTTCCAAATTTTTGGTGCATAGATGCTGAAAGCTGCTTCTCCTCTCTTGGTTCTGGTTCTGGGGATGCAGAGCAGACCAGAACCAGAAGACCTGAGAGGCCTGGTAGGTTGATACAACAACAGCAGATCTTTGATGTATTGTGGTGCCAAACCGTTCAGTGATTTGTAAACTAACAACAGTATTTTAAAATCTATTCTTTGAGCTACAGGGAGCCAGTGGAGGGACTTATGTGCTCTATCTTCCTGGTTCTAATGAGAACGCGAGCAGCAGCGTTCTGGATCAGCTGCAGCTGTTTGATTGATTTGTTGGACAGGCCTGTGACGACGCTGTCTCAGTAAGCAGCCTGCAGATGAGTTATACTAAAATTCAAATGCTGCTTATTTCCGAGTTTTGTTCAGTCTGATCTAATCTCTGCTACACATTCACAAAAAATTTAAGGTTCTAAATAAAATAGCTTTGGTGTTTACCCCTCTGCTGTGACCAAGACCTAACAACAAAACTTGTTAATAAGTATTTTAGTCTTTATTTATTTTAACACGATTAAAATAAATGTTATTATAAATACGATCCGTAGAAGTGAACATAGTAAGGGAGATTGTATTTTTTCAGTTAAATGTGTCGATTTAGATGCTTACAGGGGACGGGTTCTGTGTGCCACAAGTGTCTTATGTTTTGCTTAAATAATTAAATAAGGGTTAGGTCATAAATAAGGTTAAATAATTACATTTAATTAAGTTTTTTGCATCCCAGAAAAGTTGCCAGAGTGAGCTTCGCTTTAAATAAGGTAGGCCTCATTTGAAAGCATATTGTGTCTTGAAATATAGAGAACTGGAAAAATTGTTTGCTTTTGATTGTTAGCAATGCAGCTTAACTTATTAGATAACGTATAGCATGGTGTGGAGTGCATAATAATAAATTCATTGTACAGATATAATTTGGAAACAGAAGAAATTGTGAGTTTCAATTAACTAACCAAATAGCATCAAAAAACAGGTGACTTGACGCATTTACAGACATTAAAAAAAGAGTTTAAGTGATCGGTTAAATAAATTAATTAATTGATCTGGATTACTGGCCGACTGATTATTAAAATAATAACTTTTATTCCTTACGGTTGTTCCCAATATTTTTCTTTTTAATTTTTTTTATGTTAATCTCCCACAGAACTAAACTCAAGCTTTACTCACAATCCTCATAAAATTGAAATACACCCGCGTCTCAAAACAATTCCTCAAGCCGCAGTAAACTGGTTACACGTTACGTAATTACAGGCAACACATTAATAGGGAGAGGGTCAGAGGTTGAGGCGATACTGAAAATAATATCAGAGTGGGAGCTCCTGTTGTCACACAATCTCTCTTCTCTTGGCGGTGTCGTTTCCCCGCTAACCGGTTCAAGCTGTAGGAAGCTGCTAACAGCTGGATAAACCTCCGATTCACTTCCCGTCTGTCCCCGAAGGCAGCTGAACGGAGCCGTGAATGAACCAGGCACCTCAATGCGTCTCCCGTGGCCGCGATGGCAGCAAAAGAAACGGTCTGAGCCTTAGCTTTAGCCATGTAGCTAGCTGGTGTGTAATATCAATGTTAGAGTGATTCGTGCCCTCAGCTGTTTCCGCCGCCAGTAGCTAGCTTCTTTTTTTTTTTTTTTTAAACCCCTGTCCCGGACAGACGGCGGCAGCTAGCCCCCCTTTTCTCGCCACTACAGGAGGATGCTGAAGCTGTTCGGAGCGCTGGTTGTCCTCGGACTGGCTCTGGCGTTCATCACCTCTTGGGTGTTGGATAGCTACGACACGGCTTGGCACCCTAAACGCAGCATTCGGCACCCGAGTGCCAGTGATGGAGACGGACCCAAAGGAAGCTCTCCACCATTTCCCGGCGACGAGTCGAACAACATTTTCTGGTTTGTACAGGTGGGTTGTCATTTTTTTTTTTTTTTCCATTCTCTGTTTTGTGAAGTCTTAGCCAAAACCCCACAGTGCTTTGGCGTGAACGTGACGCATGGATTTGGCTTTAGGGAGCTAACAACCCGGCTTTGTTGGCTTTTTGAATGATTGACAGAAAGGGGTCACTGACCACCAAGTATTATGCCAGATAAAAACAGGTGATTCAACACCACTGCAGGATGTGTTCAAACCTTGATCTCTTGTGTTTTGCAGCCGACAGCAATGCCTTGCTTAAGTATTCACACCTCTTAAATCTTTTCACATTTTCTCACCTGTGATAATGCAAATGTCAACAGGATTTAGGTCTGAATTTTCACTGGGCCAATTCAACACATACATATTCTGATGATTGTGATTGTAATGTGACAACATTTGGAGGGGAAAAGCAAAAACACCAAGGGGTGGGAATACTTGTTTTTTTTTTAAGGCACTGTGCACTAACGCTATTTTTCTATCTTTATTTTCATCCTGTTTTCTTGTCTGATCCAAGGTGTCGGACATTCACATCAGTCGCTTTCACGACCCAAAACGTATCCCGGATTTCGAGAAGTTCTGCACCCACACCATCGACGTGATCAAACCGGCTCTAGTGCTCGCAACAGGTAAAATCCCAGGAAGCATGCATGTAGGAGAGAATGGGGACGGGTCCTGTTCGCGCAGTCCAAAAAAGATGACCGTTTGTTGTTGTTGTTTTTGCTCAGGGGACCTGACAGATGCCAAAACAGAAAGCAAGGTGGGTTCCCTCCAGCACGAGGTGGAATGGCAGGCCTATCATAACATCCTGAAGAAGTCGCGAGTCATGGAGCGCACCAAGTGGATCGATATCCGAGGAAATCATGGTAGGGAACCACAGAGCTGTTAAATGTTGCCAAAAGCTTGCCGATTTATTGGGACAGCTCCTTATTTTGAAGACTTTCTCTCAGGAGTCAGAAGGGAGTTTTTTTTTTTGTTTTCTTTTTGTTATGACTCAGGACGTCTTCACCGCCTTTCCAGGAAGCAGAAAAATCCCCATCGATCTACTCGTACAATGCCACGCAGGCACTGTCATTTTCAGTTTAATTGCCTCCTGTTGCATCAGGGGTGTCAAACTCATTAATGTCCTATAGAGGGCAGTCTGTTGGAGAATTGATTGATAAAACTGCCCATGAACAAACAGTTAAAATCTAAATAAGTAACTTTCACTGCAATTCATTTACTGAAAATTCTAAATAACAAAATTTGGAACAGCGAGAATAAAGCAATGATTTGATTAGACATGAAATAAATATGAAATGATATTTGGGCACACCACTTGTCTTGACGGTTCCATGTATGTGCTCCTTCCAAAGTCGAGAAATAGCCGTGGTGTGCCGGATTTGGCCTGCTGACCTTGAGTTTGACACCTGTGTGTTAAAGGGTGTCTTAAATTAATGACTCCAAAATTAAGGCTTTAAAATATCTTTTAAGTCATTAAAGTAAATGTAAGTTGCCCTTAAATGCACAAATCACAGAATTTAAGTTATTCTTACATTACTTAATCTTGTATTTTCTATGTAGGTTTTTTCTTGTGGGACTTTTGTTTTAGGCAAATGTTTGAGTCATCTTCACTCCCCGCATACTGTGAGGGAACAAGCTGCTAATACTGCACAGCTAATAGCTAGGCTAGCTATAGCCATACCAAGCTATAGCTAGCTAGCAAGCATTAGCACATAGATAGTATATTGCTACCTGCAGTCCACCACTAAAAAAAAATTAGCGATCTACTTGCTAGCATTAGCAGCTAACTAGATAGATTTTTTTTTTCTTTTTGTCTTGGGTGTGTGTAACTTTATCAATAGCTAGCTGAGTGACGTTTGTCTTCGCCGCTAGCTCGCTTATGTTGCCAACACATACAATGCTACGTTCTTCTTCATAAAAACGCTCATGTGTCAAAAAATAAAAAAAGTTCGTTCTTTTCTGCATTTCTGTCCCAATATAGGTCTTGGATTTTTATTCATGGTGGTCTTAAAAAGTCTTAAATTTGAGTTGGTGAAACCAGCGAAAACTTAATGTTTGCTTATGTGTGTTTGAGATGCTTCACAATCTTTCCCGTTTCACTTTGCTTACAGATGCCTTCAACATTATGTCTTTGGATAGCGTCAACAATTACTACAGGTTAGTAAATAATCAACACGCCGCCGAATCCATGCTCAATGATGAGCTCACGCATTTGCAGTATAAATCCGATCGGCGTGCGTTGTGTCTGCGGTGCTCCTGAAACACAAGTCTCGTCGCACGGCAAGCAGATCAGCGTTCACATAGACCGAAATAGAACCCCAATCGACATGATCAGACTCATTGTGTTGCCTTTTGACAGTTATCATGCTTTATAGTTCCCTGGCATCCTCTCTTAATGTTGATTTGTCTCCTGCCTTCCTAATGATCCTTAATATCCTGATTTGTTATCTGTGAGACAAGGCTAATTTATTTATTTGGAACGCATTAAATTATCTCCGAGGCTCAGGCTCCGAACAGGACCGCCGTGCCGCCCTCCAGCTGCTCACGTCGCCTCTGCCTGTTTTGTCCTCTTTCCTAGAAAATACTCAGCCAACCAGAAAGTAGGCTCTTTTCATTATGTTCACACGACCCCGTTTGGTAACTACTCCTTCGTCTGTGTGGACGCCACCCTGACTCCTGGACCCAAACGGCCGTACAATTTCTTCGGGATCCTCAATCAGGTAAGGTCTGTTTAGAAAAAAAAAAAAAAAAAGTCCCAATTTTTGATTGAAACATTTTTTTTCATGCAAATGACTGCTCTGAGCTTTTTTTTTTTGTCAATACATATAATTTAATTCTTGTGAATTTAGGTCACCCATTAAAAGGGGTAATAGAGGTGTAATTGCATACGTGTTGGTAACCAGATCCTCGTCAACATTACATCATCAAGCGGTGCACCGTATTATTTGAAATGGACTCGGCTTTGTAGAGCAGGAGCTGCTTTGACGATGCTCTCGTCATTGAGAAATTACCTATTTTGAAAGATCCACCTTTTATGTGTTTCAAATTGTTCTTCCTTTCTGTCGGAACTGACCTACATTTTGGAACAAAACCCTAAAGCATGTTTCGTTTTATATTCATGCAACCTTCCTCAGCATATTGGTAATTTAGCTAATTCATGAATAGCTTCTCAAGCTTGGTCAAATATGGAAAACATGAAACAATTTTTTTCGGTGCAATTAGGAGTTTAACAGACAACGTAAAATAAAGAAACAAAAAATGCCAAAAACAATCGGTCAAACGTGTAAAAAATAATCTGCAACAGTTTCTAATGGTTAAAGGTGCAGAAAAAAAACTGCTCTTGCAAGGTCATGTTTCTTTTTTTTTTGTTGTTCTCTTCCTATTTCTTGTCTTTGAAGACATTTCCTGTTTTTCTGGATTCGTCTGTTAGACTCAGATGGACTTGCTGAACAAGTTCAGAGCAGAGAGTTTGAAGAGCAATCAGTCCATGTGGTTTGGACACTACACCACCTCCACCATCGTCTCGCCGTCTCCCGGGGTCAGAGAAACGATGAGGTAGGAAGGTCAAGCCAGCTTAAAAGAACAAAAGACGGGTTACGTCACGCTGTCGTGGTGCATCTATTCATCCACCTGGTTTTCGCCTGCAGCCTGAACGTGCATCACACTGCTATGATATTGTCGTCCAGGCTCGCTCATGTACATTCCCAGTCCTCAGGTCTGGACTTTCTGTGTTCAGATCTGCCGTGGCGTATCTGTGTGGCCACCTGCACACACTCGGCGGCCTGATGCCAGTCCTCCACAGCCGCCATCCGCACGGCACTCTGGAGCTGGAGCTGGGAGACTGGATGGACAACCGCAGGTGTGTGAAGCAACGGAACGAAATGACAACTTTTTAATTGTCGTTTTTTTTTTTCTTGAGAGAAATTCTCTGATGTTCTCCTACAGGTTCAGGGTCCTGGCCTTCGATCATGACCTGCTGAGTTTTTCGGACCTCCAGTTTGAGCGGTGGCCTGCAGTTCTCATCACAAACCCTAAGGACGCGCAGTATCTCCACCCAGGGGTGGAGCCGCTCGGCCGGATACGGGGATCAACGCACATTAGGTGCCTGTATACGCACACACTCACACATATATATATTTTTTATGTGTCTGGAAAAAATTTGAATGTAATTTGACTGTTTTAAAAGTCTGGAGAATAATGCAAAGATGTTTGTTCCTTCAATTTATTATCTTATCCCATTTTCTAAAAGTTCCATCCATCCCTCCTTTTGGTTGTTTATTCCTTTATCTATTTATCTGTCTGTCTAATTTTCTTCTCTTACTAAATATTTTTCAGAATTGTGAAGTTCATCTGGTCTCGATTGACTTTTATATTTGGTGCAGGCTGTACAAAATGCATGAACAAATAAGATATCATAGGACGAGCAAAATTTTCCATTTATGTTAATAGAAGGAATGAGATGAACAGAATTACAGAGGGGAAGGTTGACACAATGTACGCTTTGATTGTTAAACATAGACCAAACTCTGAGTTTCTGGTTTTGTTTGTTTTGTTTTTTCAATGCTGAATAACCTGACTCAGTTTTTCTACGTGTGTCAGCAAAGTTGTAGCTGATGGACAGTTGGGTTTTATCTCTTTTGTTTGGAAGTTTCTTACGGAGTAAAACTCGGATGTTTTAGTGCATATTCATTGAAAAATGAATGTGATTTTGTGACTCTGCAGGATGCTGGCCTTCTCCGAGGCTCCGATCACCGCGGTCCACGTCAGCATCGACGGGGAGCCGCTGGGCACCGGCCGCGCCGTCCGAGGGCCCCTGTATGTCCTGCTGTGGGATCCGTCTCACTACCTCGCTGGGCTGCACACCATTACAGTTAAAGTGGAGGTTGGCGCTAATGCGATTTCTAAAGTATTTTTATTTAGTTTACGAGTCCCGAGAGTGCTTAGGAATCGTGTTTTAACGCTTTCCTTCTTGCTTGCGTTTGCATCAGGACTCGGCGGGCCGGTCGGTGGTGCGGGAGCAGCACTTCACGCTGGAGGACACCCTCAGTCCCAGCTTCGGTTTTGCTCAGTCCTTCATCCTGCTCACGGATCACTACATCCTGGGCCGAGCGCTCTTCATCTTCACGGTGTTTCTGAATGTTGCCGTGCTCGTCGCCTTCAGGTTCCTCCGCGTCTCTTCCAGCAGAGGTCAGCCGTTGCAGACGATCAGTCGCGAAGCCGTGGCTGAAAATGGCTTTCACGTTTAACTTCAGGGATTAGTTTGAAGGATATTGGGAGCTACAAATTAATTATATTTTGTTTTTTTTTACTTTGCAGCATTTTTTTCTCAAATCTGTGTATCTCTCCACCTGATCAGCAAAATGGACCTGTTCTACTACTCTCTGCTGATGTTGAACCTGTGCACAGCTTTAGGTTGGCAACTTGCTGTTCTTCACTCTCACATTGACAGTTTTAGGATTAATTTCTTTTTTTAAAAATCCAAATTGACATCTAAATTATTATTTTTAATAATAGTGACTTATGAAATAGTCACCTTTTCTGATGTACCAAATCTTTTCTAACTGCGAGTCATTATCATCAAAATTAACAAAAATCAATCAAACTTGTCCTTTATTTTTTATCAGATTTCAATTTGCCAAGATGCTCTTGTATATTCACAGAAATTATAAAAAAAAAAAACGCATCAGAAATAATAGGCTGGAATATAGATGAATACTTCTGTAACGACACAAAAACGTAAAAGTTTTTCTAAATTTTTCCATCAGGTTTGTCGTCTCGGTCTCTGGGTAAATTATTCTCAAATAAACTATTTTGTTCTCTTTGTAATAATGACTCGCCTTTTCAGTCTAGAGTTTCACCCAGAAAACTGCAGACCTGATGTTTAACCTAAAATGTTTTAGTGTCATACACTTCTTCTCTCCTGGGTAATGTCTCTGTCACTCTGCAAAAGAATGAACTGTCTGCGTGCCTCCTGCCAGGTCCCTGGTTCATCGGAGAGCTGATCGACGGACACAGCGGCGCCTGCTTCGCCTTCGGCGTGTTCATCGACGGCCATTTCCTGGAAGGAAGTCTCACTTATGTTGTTGGAGTCATTCAAGTAAGACTATTGATTTTTACTGATCGTCTCTGCATTTCTCTACAAGTGTCAGACTCCTCGGGGACATGCTTTTTTTTTTGTTTTTTTTTTAATTTCGTGTGTCTTTTAAAAAGTCCATGCAAATATCTGCAATATTCGTAGCCTGCTGGGATTTTTTTCAGGATTTTTGTCCAGACTGGGGATGTAAACATTAATTAATTAATTGTTGACTGATGCTTTATTCAGCAACCCGAGAGCTTCCCGTTTTGTTATATTGTAGAAATAGGTCTAAGGTTAATAATGTGAAGGAACGCCAATTTCTGTTTATTCAGTGAGTCTTTAATACAGCTGACAGAAAATATTTGAATGTATTTTTTTCTAATTTAGCATATTTTGTAAAAAGTAGTCCTTCATATTATGAAAAGTCCCTCTTGATGAGAGAAAACTCACATTTTCAAGAAAATATCAGCTCATCAGTTAATTAATAGTTGATTGATAAGATCAGTCAACTTTAGATTAACTTATTAATCAATAGCTTGCATCACTATAGTCCAGACTTATTTAGGTTAATAATAAAAAAAAAAGAAAAATAGCATAACAAGTGGCCTCACTTTTTTCCTGGCAGCTGCTGTTCTTCAACATTCCCCTCACCTCTTACCTCTGCTGGAGCTTTCACCACCGTTGCCACGGCAACACCCTGTGGTCCCACCTGGCGCGGCCGGGCCGGCGCGGCCGGACCGCGGCGGTGCACGTCTTCATGCTGCTGCTGCTCACCTGGCAGGCCCACTCCTGCTACTTCCTCCTGCAGACGTACGGCGTCACGGCCTTCTTCCTGTCTCCCGTCCGCACGTGGGCCCTGGCGCTCGGCGTGGTCCTGGTCTACTGGGCCTGGACGGGCCCCGCCCCTCTGTTTCGCGACAGCGGCAAGAGCAACTCTTCCTCTTGACAGTAAATTGCACTGTTGCACACTGAGCCTGACTCACAGATACATTTTGCTGTCTCTCCTCACCCTGAAAGCCCGACTTTCCCTCCTTCCTCCTCGTCCCCCCCGGAGACAGCTGTCTTTTTCCTCTCTCTCTCTCTCTTTCTCTCTGTCTCTCTCTCTCACTCTACAGGCCAACACCGAACTCTCCTGTTTCTAGATAGTATCGTTTATTTAATATGCATGTTCTTGTAAAGCACCGATGAGCACATTTGTGGCCATATTCATAGCAATCTGTACAGCGTTTTAAAGGAAAATGGATCTCAGATGCATAAAGGTCACATGACACACTGCCTTGCAAAAGTATTTATTCGTCTTTTGTCACTTTAAAACCATGATGTTCAACATATTTAATTGGGATTTTATCGGATTTGTGTTGAATCTTGCAGCGTTTATACTTTATCTTTTTAGGGATGCGTTCACAAGTGAGCAGCAGTCACATCTAGAAACTGAAATGTTTCAACTGAGCTATTCCCAGACTGAACGAAAAGCTATTTTTAAGTCTTACTCCAAATTTTCAGGTCTGACTTTAATGCTAGACTTTGACTAGGTCATTTAAGCAAAACCATTTCATTGCAGCTCTGTATGTCTTAAAGCTGCTGACCTGCTGGAAGGTGAATCTTTGCTCTTCTTTCAAGTCTTTTCCAGCCTTTTTGAGGTTTTTTACAATTATTGTGCTTCTTTTAAGGAAGGGAGTATTATCTCATATTAACATTTCCATATTTTATTCAGGATTCCATTTTCTAAATGTTACCTCCTTTCTTCCATTTGTCTGTTATTTCCTTCTCGTTCTCCTTGTGCACTTACTTCTTCCTCTTTTTGTTCTTTTTCCTTCCTTGGCTGCTTCCTGTGGCTCTTCTCTTCGCTGTTTTCCTGCTTCTTGACCGACTTCCTTAAAGCTTGCCAGCTGAATAAATTCATGAGAATTTCTAGGGCTGCACAATATGCGTTTTAACTGTGATACCAATTCTGAATGACACTTTTCTTTTTCTGAATATTGCGACGGCTGTGTCGATCCACAATTTCCACACTTTTCTGTGTAAGCTCTGCAATCTCAGGCAGTGATAATGTGGGGATCGAAAATCGTAGTCAGTCAAAAAAAGAAAAAAATCCTACTTGTGAAATATATCAGTCAAGTGTTCTTAAGGTTTGCTAAATTGCACAGTGACGTCGTGACGATTTGATCGATGGTTCTGCTTTAACGAATGTCTAACCTGGACATTTTGACCTGAATATTTCAAATGGAGCCCTCGATTTTTCTTTCAAAATCACCCCCTTCATCTTTCCTACCTTTCCCGGAGAGAAGCCTCCCCACAGCATGACGCTGCCTTCGCCAGTTCCTTTGTCTTCGCTCTACTTGCTCACTAACAAATCTCTACCGAGATTAAATGACACCCTGTCAGCTCACGTAAAATCCAAATTACATACATCGAGGGTTGTGGTTTTAACCTGACGAAATGTGGAGAAAATTGAAGGGTCTGTATTCGTTTTGCAAGACAGTGTGACTAGTATTATCTATGAGAGAAATATTCCAACTTCTGCTGTGGTTGACGGTGTACTGTATTCTGCTGTGGTTAAAGATGGCTCATTTACTTGAGATTTAGCACTTTTTTTGGATATGTTGCCTTGGCCAAAACGCCACTTCACCACTGCCAAAGGATGATTAGGAAAGATTATTTTTTTCTCCCCCCTCTTTTATTTTCTCCTCCAAGCCCGCGGTTTTGTTGGTGGATGAAGGCTGGAGTTGCCAAACTGCTCCCAAAGTTTACCTTGGAACACAAATCACACAGGAAGTAGAAGTGCAGCACTTTTTAAAAATGTATATATAGACGCCACTGGATACGGCGAGTGATAAAAGCAACCAAGACTTTCATGTTCTTCCTTCAGTCCACACAGAAAATCAAATCGGCATTCGGACTGTGTGAAGTTCCGTTTACAATTTTAGCTGCAAACCAAGTCAGTTTCACTGCAAACAACTGCCAGCGATGTTCACGTTTACGCCAGTTTTCTCCGAAACCCTGAACCCGACTTGAATTTTTGTTTTTGCTCACAGCAAGCAGCCGTTTGTTTCTCAGGAATGTGAACGCTTTAACAACACGCTGGTTCCGGAAGGTTTCTTTTTTTTTTTTTATACTCCAAAACAGTTCAGTGAACAAAAACCCCAACATAAAGCAATCCCGATGCGTTTTGGATTTGAAAAGAAACTTAGATGAATGTGTTAAACGTGATGAGATCAATTACTGTTTTATGCTGTTTTTATTTATTCATTTTGATTGTATATTTTTTTTTTCTTTTTTACTTTGAAGAAATGTGTTTCCTCTTGTAATTAATTGACTCTGAAAACGGGGTATGTGGTATTTCAGCTCTCTCCGGCCCCCAAACCTTGGGTTTGGCTCGGAAAGCTTTCCTCGTGTGTGAAAACCTCTTTTGTCCGTGTTTTCGAGAATGTGTGCGAAAGCACGGAAAATCTATTTGTTGCACTGTCGTTCACACCTCTCTACTTCTAATTGCTGATGTAAAAAACGGCACATAGGAACGCTTAGTTGGTTCGAATCTCCGTGTAGGGGAAAACATTCAAAGTTGCAGCCTTGAACATTAAGACACGTTATTGCCGAAACAGCTGCCAGACACTTACAAAATAACTTAACGGTGCACTTCTTTCCTCTACAGTGACATAAATGTACATTAATCTTCTCTTTATTGATTTACGGGAGCCGTTTTCTCCTACAATCCACTGTACCGTTCCATCATCTGTCCACGGGGTGGCAGTGTTGGACAAATTTGGATCACTTCAAACTCCTAATGCATGATTGCTTCTTTTTTTTTTAAACTCTTCCCCAAAAACAAAAAGTGTCTCGCCACCAACAATAAACATAAACGTGCCCGGTTTGGAATGCACGCCGACCGGACTCGGCGAGGAAACGCTGGCATGGACTCCACCGCCTCAACGCAAAGTTGGGGGGGAAACATACTGTAACCGACTGTGTGCTGGTGTTTGTGCCACCTCCTACCGCAACCCCTCCCCCGTGTTGGAGCACTGATGCTTTGTGAATGAATGGATGGTAATTTTACACCTGCCACATATTTTTCTTGTGACAACTCGATTTAGAACCACGATAACTATATTTTATTATTGGTTTATAGTGTTGTGGAATAAAGAAATGTGCATTACGGTATCGCTTTTTGTGTCCCAACGTTTCTATGCAGTTTCGCAATAAGATAGAGACACGTAATTGATGGATCAAAATCTAGGACCGGTGCCTTTAAAGAATTTAAATTGTAGTTACCTTTTAACGCAGCACAAGGATCACTATTTTGGTTTAATAGTGCCAAAATAGTGCTTTTCACTATTTCTTTTTGCACAGTTTTCTCGAGATCAAGGGATCCAATCGGAGCCAGAAGTGGCTCTTTGAGCCTTCCACAAAATGTCTACTCTAGCTATAACATGTAAATACATATGAATGTTGATTTTTTAGCAGTTTTACATGCAATAATTGTATTGAATTTCCAATATTTTTTCAGCTCTACTTGTGATTAGGTTGGAAAGTTAGCTTAATTTTTTGTTTTTATTGAAATCATGTGATGCATTCTAAACATTTTTCTACTCTGAACTCAACAGTCATAACAGTTGGTGGGTTCTCACCGATTTGACCCACGTTTGCTTGCTGGCTCCAGGTCACTCCAAGGCTCAGAAATTACACTGGATTTTGTTTTGAGAACACAGAAAACACGAGTAAATATATTTTCGCACTGAATTTCTTGTTGCAAACTGTCAAGAATTCAGTAGGTTAGTGTTACAGTCGTGCAGGTGATAAAAGACAACCATGGACCTGCGTTACAAGTTCCATCTCGCTGGAATCTTTTCTCAGTCGGATATTTTTACTATTTGCTTGCCGATGTTTCCGCCTTTCATCATGGAGCAAAAGGCAACTGCAAGGAAAAAAAAAACGAGGGAAAAGAACGTTTAAAGTCCAACTAAAAATCACGACCAAATATGTTTTTACTTGCATACCTCCCATGTTTTCTATACCGCTCACCACCGTTTCCAACACCTGCAAAGAGGAAACAAAATGGCGTCACGTGTCAACTGAGGAGGAGGGAGCACATTCCAATGGAGACATCGTCTTTGGTACCTTGATTTGAGCCGATTTTACTAACTGGCTCAGCTCCAGGAGGGCAGCTTCCGCTTTACTCATGTAGCTGAGCACCATGAATCTCTCCCGGCTGATGTTCCGACTTCGCAGGACTTCTTGCGTCTTGTCGCTCAGAGGGGGAGGATACGGCACATCCTTGTTGTACTGCGAGATCTGCCCGCAGAGGATCACGTGTCCTCCCTCGTTCATCTGCGGGCGAAGAGGCGGAAGGCGCTCGGTGAAGGCCACGAGGCACGCCTGGCGTCAAAAGACGCACGCCTCACCTGCTCTATGACGGCGTCGCTGATGGCGCCTCCTACATTGTCGAAGTAGACGTCGACGCCGGCGCGACAGGCCTCCTTGAGCCGTGCCGCGACGTCGCCGCTGCGATAGTTGATGGCTGCGGAGAAGCCCAGGTCTTCCACCAAAGCTTTGGACTTCTCGTCCGAACCGCAAATCCCAACCACCTTCGCACATCCATCCAGCCGGCCGATCTGGGAGATATACATCAGTACAAAGAATGTGAAAGGCTAATATCTCAATTAGGGCTGCATTTGATGATCGTTTTATTCATAAAATATTTTGACGACTAATCTGATTTCTTTTTTAAATCGACACATTCTGCAGTTTTTTTATTTAACCACTTATACAAAAGCAATACAACATCTTTTGTGTACTTTACAGCGAATTTTTGTCTTGAAAACTTCACTATAAAGCGAAAGTTTATAGTGTGTTCGCTCAGCATATCTGAATTAGTTGACGATTATTTCTGTCGCTGATTAATCATGATTAATCCTTTCAGCCCTATTTTTACTTCCTACTCTGCTGGGTGAACATTGCAAGCAACCAGACGAGTCAAAGCGTTGGTGGACCAGAAATCTAAAGGTTCCTGCGTGTACCTGTCCAGCTAGGGAGCCACAGGCGCCGGCTGCGCCGCTGACCACCATCGTCTGATTGGCCCCTTTGGTCACGTGGCCCTTCTCCCTCACCCCTAACAGCGCCGTGAGTCCCGTCATGCCAACTGCTCCCAAAAAGTAGGAAAGATGGCCATCAACCATCTGTGAATCAACCTGCAAAAGGTATGGGATCCTCCTGAACGGCGTCTTGTGCAAATGATCCATCAAGAGATCCTTAGTTAATCGCTTCTGCAACATGCAGCTCTTTGCAAACACACAATCCAAGATGGAATCCAATCTTCGCAACAAAAACAAATCTTCGCAACAAAAACAAATAACGCCAGCTGAAAACAACAACTAGTGAATAATACGCCATACCTTCTGAAGGCCACCTCCCATCATGACTGCACGGGTCTGCCACGGCCAGTTGAATGAGGTGACGACGTCTCCCTCTGTCAGAGCGCTGCAGCGGCTGCTCTCGACCACGCCCACTCCGCCACCGTCCACGCACTCAGACAGCTTCCACGCAGCCAGGTAATCAGCGCCGGTGTCTTCATTCATTCTGCAGCGCTGAGAAGAAAAACACACACGGAGGTCAGCCTCCGGACGAGTGGCTAAAGGTTATTCATAATGCTTATTTGTGCCTTACTTCGTTACCATGTAAGGGTCGACTGAGAGGTAAAGCGTCCGAACAAGGACTTGTCCATCTTCCAGGTGGGATGTCAAATCGATCTGTTCCAGGCGGAAGTTTTCGGGAGTTGGCTCCCCGTTGTTACCTGCACGTGCAAATGCAAAGCTCCAGTAAAAAAAAAATAATAACAATAATAATGTGCAACATGCTCTTAATAAGAGCGCTGGTTCTGGATAACGTACCTGGTCGAGAGTTAAGAACGACGCGCTGCACTTGCATGTTTGTCGCAGCGTTTCGCTCGAGTGACCTGACCTGACCTGGCAATCAATGAGAAGAGCCAAAGACAGGTCACGGTGTAAGAAAAAGTGTGTGTAGCTGCGCATAAAAAAAAACCACATAAAAAATAAATAAATAACTGCTTGTTGCAGAAATTCCTCACAAGTCTTTGTTGTACTCACAGGGGCGAGTCGATGTTTGTTCGAAGGTTAGCAAAGCGGTGAGGAAACGAGGCGCATTCCGTCACAGGCAGCCGGAGGGGAACGTTTCCTGTTAGGTCGGAAGTATTGTCATTTCCGGGTCGTACGTCAGCGTGGCAGCCATTTTGTGATTGGCATTGTTAAATTCATCAACATTTAAAAAACAAGAATTATGGTTTTCACATCCACTTTTTAAATGTTGACAAAAGAGAAGTTTAGTGGTTTATTCTAATTTCTAGAGCCAAATAAGACCTGTTTATTAAACTATTTTGAAAGCAGATTTCACAGTTATTCTGTCTTTTTCAGATATTGAGGATATTTGTCTTTGCAAAACACACTTGTTGATATAAAATTATTGTGTTTATAATTACTCCTAATTATCTGACTGTAAACTTTATTGTTTCTTTAATGATAAAAATTACGTTTTTAAGCCTGCTTGTTTTATTTTCTAAGGCGATGGTGCCACTCATAAAATGGCGCACGGACCGTGCTACGTTTCCATGGAAAGACGGAGCCAACACAGCATGTATGAACGAAATCCACCCTTCACAGCAATCTCGGTTTAGTACGCCATCAACAGACTATAAATGATGGACCTATAAAGGTCTTGCGATTATATTCTGGTAAACCTGGTGTTTACCCAATTCTGCACGTTTATTTCCTCTGTTCATTGTTCAAGGCGATACTTTTATTTGTGTAAATTCAGTTCACACCACTCACATGGAGTAAGCTCCGCCTGCCGCAAAAGATTGGCGGGTTGACAAATGATGCACACCTACTGCTGGGGAAAGTGTAGTTGAGAACAAAACAAAGATGATTCCCTGCTGCCAGCTTCCGTTTTCGTTAAACTTCTCATTTGTAGCCCTTCCGTCCGAGATTTAATATGAGTGATTTTTTTTTTCCAAAGTAACAACCAATACCACTAAAAATCTATCTTGAAAAATATATAGATCTCTACGAGATGACAAAATTTAACTCACGTTTATGTTAAAGTGCGACATTATTCGACAGAAGTGGCTTACTATCTTGTCACTAGTACGCCCTGACGCGCCGTTGAGCCGTTAAGGAAACCTTGAAGCGAATAGAAACGGTATGCGCCCTCGTAATGAGGTTATCTGGTTGGGTTTCATCAGCTCTGCAGCTTCCGAACAGATGAAGACGTGGATGTAATCACACGTTTTGCTGCTATCGGACACTTAAAGAAAAGAAAAAAAAAAGTTGTAAAGGCGCATGCCGTCCCACGTTGAGGGCTAGCAAAAAGCTAAATTGGGTCAGTGCGGGGCTTGGGATGTGACGCCTTGTGGAAGAATCTGCAGGAAGGAAACCTGAAAAAAACTGACGAGATGACGACTTGAATGCCATGGAGGACCAGAGGATGAAGTGAGTAAGTAACCCTTAACTGACAGGCAGTGTGTGCGCATGGCAGCGAGTGGTAGATGTTGTTTTGTGTGAATCGTGGGCTGGTTTTGTTGGGTGTTATCCGACAAAACTGATCAGAAATCCCTTCTGTGACGCAACTCAAAATGCCCCCCTACGCCCCCCCCCACCGAGTCCCAGGAGTGGCATCCATGCTTTCATAGCTGCAGTCTGAATAAATAACTTCAGCAAATTAAAATCTGCAGGGCTTAAATAAAAAAATAAAATAAAGCCACCTGCTGAGTACAAGTGCAAGGAATATTACACCCCATTTAAAGGTAATTTGATTTCTCATTTCTTGATTAAAGGTCACTAAATGTCAGTCAGGAAAGAAAGAGAAGAGAAGATTCTCTTTCAGTTGTTTTCGCAGTGTTAGTTTTTCACGCTCACAGAAAGCCACAGATGTCAAATATGTTTGTTTTTCCTTAGACATTTATCGGAACAAATGTAGTAAATAACTATATCTCCGAGGATCAAATCGCTGAACCCCTATGCAACAGTGTCATTAGATGCAAATGCATTTATTTTCACTTGCGTCTGCAATTATTATTAAACGTCAGAAATTACTCTAGCAGATTGCTATCTTGCAGATTTTGTGTTCTGTATGAATTCTGTGTCAGCAGTGTTTTTATTTCATTTTTTTATGGGTATCATGGCTTCCCACCCAGGGCAACCTTCCGCCATGTGGTGGCACCGACGTTCTATAAACATATGTACAGCAATTGTGATATCAATTGGTAATTTTCATGTCCATATTTTCATGTTGTGTGGATAAATATGTCTGCAGTGGGGCACTTCACCATTTTTCCAAGTATTCTGGAGTCTTTGATCATCTCTATTTAGAGGTCTGTGTCGACTAAACTCCGACTGCATTATCATACACCAAACATACTTTTAATTCATTTTTAAAAAATCAAAAATAAGTTGTTTTTTTTTACTATAACTTTGGATTTAAATATCATGTAAAGCACTTTAAGTTGCTTCGCTGAAATGATGAATTTACTGTATGTAGCCTCGTCAAACCTGGACAAATTAGTTTTGGTCGACTACAGCTTCTTTAGATTACAATTTTGATATGTAAATTTGATATTTAGGAAGAAAGAAAAACAAGGATCATCTGTTCAAGACCAACATAGAGTGGACGATTGCTATCTTGCAGATTTTGCAGATTTCGTGCTCTGTATGAATTCTGTGTCAGCAGTGTTTTTATTTCATTTTTTTTATCAAATAAAAAAATGAAATAGAAACGGCTGCAATAAGTCGAGGAAAATTACCCTGTTGGCAGATTTCGTGCTGTAGATCTAAAATATTTGAAAGAAAACAGCTTAGGAAGCGGAAACGCCTTGGCACAGAGCTGATTGACAAGCTGTTGGCTGTGGTTTTCAAAATAGTCAATCCAGAAGTGCCATTTCTGAAGGCGCTGACTGGTGGCGAGAAGGAAGATTGTACAAATTGGCTTCTGGAGTAGTGCTTGGACAATTACTACTGTGAGTATTAATGCTTATTCAGATATATTTGGTGTTTGAACTATTAAAATTGCAGTGTTGAGTGTTTTATTTTTAATATGGGGTCTCAATTGTCCGTGGATTTCAGACAATTGTGGCCTGTTGAGTGGTTGAGTGGTACTAATTAAATATAAAAGACATTTGTGATCATCTCCTCAGGCTGTTTGATAAGAGCCTGTGGAGATGATCTGTCACTTGTCCCCTTCCAGCTAATCTCGTTCCAGTGGTATGTATTTGATTGGTTTGCTTTGTGAGGGTCAGGCTTATATTGTGTGATTGTTTGAGATTACAGACCACTAGATTGCAGAGGAAACTGCATTCTCGGTGATTGACTGCAACACGAAACAGATTTCTCACCACAGCAGCGAAATAAAATCCACTGCCAACATTCGTATCCTAAAGCATGCCTAAATGAAAGGCTTCACAAGTTATTATTCATAATATTTGCACAATATACAGATATATTTTCTTTCATTTTGTCATTTCTGAGGGTAATTTTGCAAAGAATTCATTTCATGAGCACATTCTGTGCACGGTGTTGCTCATTGGGAGGGTCCGGAAGATTTTTAGAAAGTGATGCACAGTTTAATTATATGCAACTGAAGGAGAAGCTTAAAAAGTCCAGACCTATAGCGTTGCACTCGATGAATACCACGCTGCCTTTTTCTGTAAATGAGCAACAACCAGGCGTAGAGCGACTCCACAGTCGACGGGGATTCCCCTCGTATTCTGACAGTTTGTAGGATTTCTAAGAGCCTGAGCTGAGCTGTAGTGTAATGCTCCAGAAAAATTACTAAGAATTAAGAAGTTGTTCTCATGTTAAATCTCTCCGATTCATTTTTACTTTTTGTTTTTTTTTTTTTTACCCAAAGGCCCAATAGTACTTCCTCTGGAGTTTTTTCCCATTCCTGTACACAAACTTTCTAATTCTAGAGAAAGTTTGTGTACAGGAACAGACCAGCATAGTGACACTTAGTACACATCGCAGGTCTTCTACTTTTAACCCTATGCTATTAATCAGATGCATGTACAGTGCATGTACAGTGCATTAAAGCCGACAGAACATGTACAAGCTGCAAGCTCTTAAGAAAACAGTGCTACGGTTCTTCTGGTTCATGTGTGTGCGGAGCACACAATGAGGGCTGTTTGCAGTGGTTTTCTGTTGGAGAAATGGCTGCCGTTTGTACTGCCTATGACCTCAGCATCTTTAGATAAGAGATCCTCCTTCACCTCCGCACAAAGCCTGTTGTAACCCTGTGCGTTGCAGTCCTCAAACCTGCTAAATAGATCTAGAGGCAGCGTAATGCCTTGGTGGAAACTGCAAATGATTCAGTCTCTACAATTAACATTTTGTGTGTGTATATATACATTTATGAAACTGTTTTCAAAACTAAAGACGTCTTCAGATCAGATGTCCTCACTCATATTAGTCAATGGTGATGACTAATAATCGGCCTCTCATGCTAACATTTGTCGGTTTATGTTGTAGTTTAGTTCATAGTTGGGAATATCGTAGAGCTGTAATATCTGAAGATTCATCGATGTCCAGGTCTTTGTTGTTGTTGTTTTATCTTTCCTGCTAATTCCAACTTGGCCAGAATTCGAATCAGAATTTGAATAAATCGGAAAGAATATTCAGACTGCTGGTTACCGATCAGAGCCGGTCAGCGAGAAATTGACCGATTGATCAGCTCGTCTGTCGTGAAGATCATCGTGTTTATGGTATTTTTAGCGCGTGCTGATATAACCAGTGCTAATCTCTTTCTTAGAAAAGAAACAAACAAAAAAAAAAACAAAATCAAGTTGGGTCATGTTGTACATCCTAGTATTAATTTCTGCCTAAATACTAGAGATGATGAGAATCTCACACCGGCTCATCGCTCCTCCATCTTTATGTCAGCTGTGTGTGTGTGTGTGTGTGTGTGTGTGTGTGTGTGTGTGTGTGTGTGTGTGTGTGTGTGTGTGTGTGTGTGTGTTTCTTTCTGTTTTTTTTTTTTTTTTTTTTTTAGTTAAAGCAGAAAAAATGATTTGCTTAGTCTCATTTGTCATAACTTCTGGGCCGTTACTACTTGAATTTACTTTTATATGTATACCACCTACGTTTCCCACACTTCCAGAATGTTTTCTTATCTGAAAGGCGATTAATTTTCCTCTTACGGGGAAAATTCTGAGGAAAAGAAAAAGGTGAAATCATGCTGAAAGTGTTAGGAGTGGCCTTAATATAAAATAAACAATCCTGTTTTCATCCCCCAGGATTTACCTGCACTGCGCAGGCATTCCAAGAGCTTTTCCACTAGTAAAATAGAAAAAGTTAGTGAAAGGAAAGATGAATTCCGGTGTAACCGGGTGCGTCTTTCTCTGCCCCCCCTCCTCCTCCTTCATCCCCGCGGTCCTCCCTCATGTGTTGGAATTTCCCGCATGGACTGAGAGGGATCTTGCTCCGTAAATTACGGCGCCTTCGCGTGTCAGAGGAAGGGCCTTTTATGGGCAGGGGAAGTGGGCGGGGCCACGCGGCGGGCGGAGAGGAGGTGGCAATCACAAGACGGCCAGAGGAGCGCAGTCGATGCACGGCGGCAGCAGCAGGCCGCAACCTTCTTCTTCTTCATTTTTATTTTTTTCATTTATTGAATTGTTTTAGCCTCGCAGTGCAACCGCCGTGCAATAATGTGCAACGAACAGCGGCTGCATTGCGCTTCTGTTCACGCGCATTAGCACGCTCGTGTTTACGCTCCAACGTCGAGTCTCCCCCTCCTCCGCCTCCTCACCTCTCTCCCATCCCTCCTCACTTGTTTTCTTCTTCCTAGCTGGGGGCACCGAAGGGAAGAGCGGGGGGGCGGGGGGGAGAGAGAGAGAGAAGAAAGTCCAAATGCGTGAGGTCAGCAGCGTAGCATGAGTCAACCTCGGAGATGTGTGCAGTCATCATCGCGGGCCTGCCGCCGCTGGCCGCACGAGAGAGCTATCCAGCGCGGCTGAGCGGCTCCTCACAGTAAGTACCGGGGGGACGTCTTCCGTAGAGGCCGTAAAAAGTCGATGACTGTGGCGCTGCTGCTGCTGCTGCTGTTGTTGTTGTTATGGCAGACGTAGACGTTGTGGTTGCCGCTGCATGTTGCTGCGACCGCAGCTCGCTGACAAAGTTTTGTTTACCTCGAACTGGGTCGCGCGCGCGCTCGCGCGCTTCTGACCCCGCAGGCTCGTGAACCCCGGTCCGTGTTTATCCCTGTGGCAGCAGCTCCGTAAATCCACAAAAAAACAGAACACACACACAAAAAAAAAAAAAAAAAAAACCGAAGTGGAACCGCCGGGAGAATACGCAGGAAGAAACGTGACGCGTTAACCTTTCAGACAACTTGAATCGATCAGTGGTTATCTCTGCTTTGCTGCCACGCTTGTTTCTTTCTCTCTCTCTTTTCTCTTTTTTTGTCGAACTGGCGAGCGTTGTCGGGTCAGTTTGTTGCAGCGGGACGCGGCATTAGTGCCTGGATAATCCGTCTTCTGCAACAAAGGGCTTCTCGTAAATAGCGCTGAGCTGGCTGGCTGGCCGGCCCCAGAAAGCGATGTGGAGGGAGCGGAAAGCGGCGGGGAGGGACAGTCCTGAGCTCCTTCCTTCGCAGGCCGCGCCGCTCGCTTTAAATCGGCAAAACGGCGATGGATTAGGGCACTTGACATTTCTTTTAAGCCAATTTGCCGCGTTGTGCGCTAAAGCCTCGGCTTGTGTAAGGGCTGCACTTGTGATGCGTCATGGTGATCCTTCACCTCAGATGGAGTGCGCTGCTTGCCTAATAACCCGGAGGCGCTGCCCTGTAATCAGCAGGTTCTGCGAGAACAAATGGAGGTATTGACGACCAGCACCTTCTCCAAGGGAGGATGCTTCCTAGGGTCTGACAGCATGTCAGTGCCATCACATGGTCGCTGCACACATGCTGTTTGTTGGCCACACAGCGTGGTCTTTGGCGTTCCTCTGTCAGTGCCTCGCACCCCCCCTTGAGCCAGTGCAGGATCTGAACAGCTGCAGATGTCTATTTTAAGGCTTTCTCCAGGGCACCGGAGTAAAGGGTGACTATTGTCAGCCACTTCCAAAGTGCTACGAAGTGCGATATTTCTTTTGAGGGTTCAGGATTCATTTGTGCAGCTTTCAGTTCTGACAGATTAACATAATTCAGAAAGCAGTCTGTATGCTTTGTCTCTCTCTGTCTCTCGTCTGTAGATTACTGACTTCAGCACTTGAACGGTTTCTACTTTGCGCACAGATGGAACAATTATAATTTGACACACTGCGCCGTGCCAGAATCTGCTCCGAAACCCGGCTATTATGTAATATACTATCGGCCTGGGTTGCCACGGTAATTGTCAAGATGTGCTGTAAGTTGCACAGACGCCTGCAAGGACGCCTTGACTTTTTCGTCCTCCTCGCCCCTCTGCCCCACTGTCTTTGCATTGATCGCTGCACTGTGACTCATGTGTGCTCACTTTCTGCCTCACCTATTTGAGGCTGCAGCCGTAGTTCAAAGGGCACGGTCTCCCTTTGTATTTTCACCTCTGAGTCACACAGTTGTAAAAAAAGAAAGAAAACACGGTCTTTTTTTTTTCTATCACATCCAGCTTTGCTTTGGCGGGAAAACAAGCGCTTTCTTTTCTGCTGCGCGTCTCGCAAAGCTGTTAGGAGTTTGATAAGGGCGTCGGAGCTCCAAGTGTGCCAGTTGATGCTGAACTTCGCCTCTGAGTGTTTGTGTGAAACAGCCCGACATAAACACAGTACGTTGATAACTGGTAATGACACTTTTGGTAACTATTGGTTAAGCTGTATCTGCCATCTGCTTTCCTTTTTTGTTCCTGCTGGTCGGAACATATTAATGCGGGACCGTAAAGATGCACGATTTTCACAATTCTTTCCAAAGTTAATCTTAAAAGCGTGGGATGCATTTGTAGTATGCCTTTCTGGGTCAGTAGAACCACCTAGAACTGCAGTTACTGCTGCAGGTAAATGTGCAGCTTTGCACATTTTGCTCTTTCTCTCGCTCTCTCACATTAGAGGGTGAACATGTATGATTTACCTATTTATTGCTTCAAGTTTTAACAATAGATTTGGGCTCGATCTTTGACTGAGCCAGTGTAACACGTGGACATGTTTTGATCTAAAGTCGAGCTGCACTCCGTTGTAGCTCTAGCTATTTTGGGTCATTGACCTCCAGGAAGGTTAACCTCCACTTAAATAATATTTTTGCCTGGGTTGTTATGTGTTTAGCTTTATTGATCTTCCCATGAACTCTGACCAGCAAGGCATCGCCAGAGCATGATGCTGCCACCGTGACTCACTGTTGGCCTGCCGCTTTCTTTCTGCCGCCCTATTATAGATGTCATATTTGAAGAGCGTGAAATTATTGTTGTTATGCTGACTTTAACTTCAGCTCACCTGTATGTTGTGGTCTACCTGATGCATTATTTACTGAATATTTGTCACTTCAAATCGCACACTTTGTTCACTAATCACTTACTTCTAAAGCACTGGAGTTTGACTCCAGTCCTCAAGGCCTGCTGTCCTGCAGCTTTTAGATGTTCCACAGCTCCAAAACACTGGAGTGAAGTGGTTTGATTACTTCCTTCTTGTGTAGATTTGTCTAGATTGCTGTGCCGTGCATTCACAGCCATACAGTTACCTAAAAATGAATTAACAAATAGCTCTTATAGTCACTTTTATTATGTATCACAATAGCACCAGTCCTGAAGCTGCAACCCTCGTGACCCGACCCTGAATACGCGGAAGACAATGGATAGATGGATAGATGGAATAACACCAAAAAATAATGTGATAAAACTTTAAAACCATGTCGCACACCCATGTAAATTTGCTGAGTTGAGTGTTAAGCTATCACCTCAAATCCCCCTTCCTCCTGCAAAATACACTTGTTGTTTGTAGCATGACAATGTGAGCCAGCATGTAAACCCGCCCCTCCCCTGTGCTCTTTTGCTGAAAAAGCAAACAGCAGGTTTTTACGTGGCTGATGCTAATGAGACCCCATCCCCCGCCCCCGCCCTCTCCCTGTGAGGGTTCCTTTTTGGTCTGATTGTTTAACCCATGACCTCTGTCTCATTTTCTCTTTGCAGGGTGTCGCCCATGAATGAGAAAAACACAGAGACTTCTTCAGATCTTTTCACCCACGACTGGAGATTGTGAAGAACTTCAGAGGGATTTGTTTTTTTATTACTGTGAATGATACAGAAGACTTTTTCTGTTTTTTTTTTTTCTTTAAGTCAAAAGAACATTCTGGATAGGCCTGGGTTGGAGCGATTCCCTGCTTCGGCCCATTCATGCTCGTCATGAGCGTACCCGCCCAGCAGAAACCCAGCGCTAAGAGAACGGGCAAACGCATCACGTTCTTCAGCGACCAACCAGGAGACCCAATGAAGGAGACGTCGCAGCATCCCGACGGGGCGTACTTCGTCCCCGGTGGCACCGCCGCCGCCTCGGAGTCCGGGCAAAGCGAGGCAGCGAGTACAGTGACCTCCAACCCAGAGGCTCCTCACATGTACTTCAACTCTGTGATCTTCAGCCCAGATAAGGGTGACCAGAACAGGGGCCACTATCAGCAGACGGTGCCGATGAAGTGGGCTCACCCCGAGCCTGGTCAGCAGCAGCAGCAGCAGCAGAGAGCTGCCTCTTGGGCTGCCATACCTAACTGGCCGCCGGCTTTTCCGAATCTCACAAGGACCCAGAATGCGTTCGCGAAGGCGATGCACGAGACTCCCCCCGGCTTGCAGCTGCATCAGCAGCCAACGAACGCTGTGAAGTCTCGAGCTCTGGAGTGGGAACAGCAGCAGCAGACATCCCAAATCTTTCAGGAGACGTTGAAACCAGGGGCGCTGAACGCCCAGCAGCAGAGTGCCCCCCACCCCGGAGGAAGCTCCGTCTTGCAGTCCTTCCAGCTGGCCTTCGGTCAGCCCAAACAGCACCTGCCCGCTTATTACCAGACCTTCCAAGGGAGCAGGAACACACTACCGAACCCTCCAAACTACTCAAATTCGAAACAGTCTTCGCTTCATCTTCAGCAGCTGCAGAATCAAGAGCAAATGCAACGGCAGCAGCAGCATGTCATCCAGCAGCAAATTCAACAGCATCAGCAAATCATCCGGCATCCGCATGTCCAGTTACAGCAGCAGCAGTTACACCATGAGCAGCAACAAAAGATGCAACAACAGCGGCAACAGCTCCAGATTCAGCAGCAAATGCAACATCAGCAGTCGCAACAACAAAACCCCCATGTGCTAGACTGTTTCTCTGCAGCACAAAACGCACACCCGCACCCGCAGCCTGTCGTTGTGCACTCGCAGGAGTCCACCGCTCCGGCTCCGCCAAAGATCCAGGAGCCGCTGATCCAGGACATCACGCCAGAACCCCAGCAGCAGCCGTCCGATCCCCTGCAGGCTCCCCCACCGCCCGAGCCGTCGTCGCAATCGCAGGCGCAGCTCCGCAGATCGCGCCGGCTCTCCAAGGAAGGTGGGGCGCCGTCTGACAACCCTTTCCTTTGCGGGCCCTCGGATCAGTCGGGCCCGGAGAACGGGGCCCGTGACGTCCAGGCGGCGCCCACGGGGGTCATCCAGAGCACGCGCAGGAAGCGCCGGGTGTCCCAAGAGGTCAACCTGGAGATGCTCGCTCAAGAGGCTTCAGAAAGGAAGTCTCCTTCACTAAGCAAGGTAAGCAAACCGCTTTATTGTTCACTTCAGGAATGTGCTTGTTCTTGTTTGCTTATTCATCTATTCAATATAGTTCAGTTCATTTATATTGCGCCAATTCCCAGCGATGTTATCTCGATTCACTGTACCAAAGAAAAGGTAATTTTAATTCAATTATTCCAATTGATCAGACAGTACAGTAAGCTCAGTGGGTTATTCAAAGTTGTTAAAAAAATTTCTATGCAAGGATATTCCTCAGCGTAGTTCTGTTCACCTGCAGTGACAGGGCTGGATTTACAAGGCTGTAGACCGCTGGGCTGGAGTCCGTTTTGGTAGCCTCTCCACTACAGAAAAAGTATTTCATCAATTGTTGAGAATAAATAATTCTGTGTTTTCCATCTATCTCTTTAAGCTAGTTGCAAAGCTAAAGCTTAAGGAAATGACATGCTAGGGAAGGCAAATGAAAGCTAGGGTTGCAGGATATGACACACTAGTTAATGCCCTCTTTAGGACGTCGCTTAGACAGAGGCTAACAAAGGAAGTTACCAAGTGTTGCTTGTTGTCATTTTGTCCTGCTAACTCCTGAAGGTAGCATGACCAGTAATGGAGCAGCTGTATTTTGGTATTAATCATGGAGGACGGATAATTCTCCACACAATAGAACCTTTTAACATTCTAGAAAGGACCGGTGCCTCTCTCTGAGGCCGGTTTCAGAAAGAGCAGGTGTTTTTAAAGCAACAGAGACACAACTTCAAGGCATTACAAAGTAATTCAAGGCATTAAATTACAAAGTTTAATTTGATTTTAGTCACATTTGATATATGCAGCATTTTTAAAACAACTGAACGTAACATAGTTACTTCATAGTGCAATTGAATAGCACGATGTGCTATTCACTTTATTATTATATATTGTTATTAATACAACCCTTCTGTTTCTGGTTTGTGAGTTTTATATAAAGTGTCAAAACATGCATTCGTTAAAAATAAAAAAAATTAAAAAACAGCAAAATTTCTAAAGTCTTGGCGAGCACAGAGACTTATTGTTTTTTTACAGAAGAATATCAAATACTCTGAACTGCCCCTAACCCCGCGACTGCACTGCAGTTTGGAGCTTTTACGGCTAAAAAATCTATTCTTCCAGCACCATCCACGGATATAATTGCGTTGGGACTTAAACTCCCTCAACAGGAGTGTAAAATAGAGCAAACGGCCTGACGGGTCTACCAGCAAAAAGTGTGCCAAAGCTCGTCGTTTGTGATTACAGTGTTGCTGGAAGAGCCTTTGGGTGTAAATCAGCACCCAGCGACATGTGCGCCACAAAGTGAGCTGCTTGGCTCGGCCTTATGGGTAAAAAAATAAATAAATAAATAAATCTGGGCCGCGGCGTTTATTCGTTCATTATTGGGCAGCTTTTGGGTGTAACGTTTTCAGGCATTTTTAACTATAAATGAGGTTGAATAACAAGAAACCCCCAAAGCATGAGCTCATAAACTGCTCTTTGTTTATGCGCTGAGAGTCTCGGTTGTGCAACAAGTCGTGTTGCCAAACAGCAGAGTGTGTTTGTAGTGCCCTGAATTCGACTCATGAGTAGCTGATCATGCAGCCTGTGTGTTTGGTTACATGCCTGCACACCTCCCCCCCCCTTTAAAAAAAAACAAAAAAAAAAACAGAAAGCAAACCTTCAGCTTGGTCCGCCCTGCCCCCCTCACAGCCTCTGTGCAGGGTTGGGGGTTCAGGGTTGCCTCGCCTGCAGTGCTCAGCAGAATATCTCTCTACTTCTGTGTTGGAGGGAGCTGGAGTTTTCCACCAGTAATGACGCGCAGCGTAGCCACGGCGGCCTTGTTCCCCTCCAGCGAGCGTCCGGTCCCTGACGCTCTTCTGATGTTTTGAGATCGGGGCGTCGAAGGTGCTGCAGACCCGAGCCCACCCCGGCTTTGAAGTACAGCTGCTGATGCTCAGTCATCGTGGTTTCTCAGAGACAAAAAAAAAAACATGAAGAAGAATGCAAAGGGGACAGTTCCTTTTGAGAACCGTGGTAGAGTTTGAACTCTAAAGTGTGACGCTTCTGTTTTAAAGTCTGGGTGCAGATTTTCAAAATAATACAGGAAGGGTCTGCTACGAAATTTGATTTATTTAAAAAAAAAAGTTGACTTAATGATATGTTAATTATATCATAAGAATAGTATAATTATAATAGAGTACTAAAAGTACAATAATAATGAAAATAAAGCATCCATTGTAATTTCTTGTCTTTGCTCTGTCAGTTCACTTCTTCTTAAGCTCATTCTTTTCCCATATTTTGCCATCTGACTTCCATTTTCTACCTGTAAACAAATCATTTAGACCCATGTATCTTACCATTGCATACCATTCTATTATTTAATATAGATAGTCATAGAAACGCTCATGTCTCTGAAATATTTAAATCCAGTTAAAAGTCCTAAAGCAAAGTCCAATGTTATTCTACATCACATTAATTCAAGGTTCTTCAAAAAGTTGTTGTAGATGTTGATACCTGTGGGCAGGAATGATCTCCTGTAGCAGTTTGTGTTACAGCAAATTTGAAGAGGCCTCTGACTGAAGAAACTTCATTTTTCTTTGACAGTTTCATAAAGAGGGTGATCAGTGTTATCCATAAGTTTTTTTTTTTTAATTATTATTTTTATAAAATCCTTTTTGTATTCAAGTTAGTTTTTCAGGCAATATTTATCGTCATTTTGATCGTACTTTAGACGTGCCAGATTTGTGAGCAGTGATCAGCACTGCTCACCTGGAATCCAATTCCAGGTGACTTTTCACTGGTAGGGAATTACTAAAGTAATGAAACATTTCCTTGCAGTAGGGAGTGTGTAGCATACATCATCAAAGTTGCATGAAACATCAACCTGAACCTGAAAGAGGTTGTCCCTAAATGTACAAATCTGCTCATTTTTAAGGGGTTATTTTATGTCCAGCGCTAATTTACAGTACAGGAAACAGCTTAGTAACTTTTTTATCGACTAAACTACATTTTGCATTTTTATGCAAAATGTCTATTTACAGACGTTAACAAGTCACACAACAGTTTGTTTTACAGGCGTCAACTCATTAATTTAATGGACGCTCAATGTGCGTAATGTCTGTATCTGACTATACGACTGAAATGATAATGGTCACAAGGAGCGGTGGAAGAACCTTATGAAACGGTACAAAGAACGTGTCAAGAAAATGTAGGTTAATCAAAACAAGCCCAGAGCATCACAGGTCCTCCACCATGCTTAATTTTGGACACAAGATGCTTTTGTTTTACGTCAAAATCACTGGTAGGACAATTATTAATACTTCTGGCAATCCCTGAATACCTAAAATTGATTAATGGTTTTTGAAGTTTTTGAATTTTTTTAAATTATGCACAAGATCAGTGCATTTTAAGACTCATTGCTCATCTTTTACCAATATGGTGTCCATATGGCCAGCATATGGACACCCATCTTCTGTCTCATGTCACAAAGTGGACCGTATTCCTAACAAACATCGATACTTTTGCTCTGCCGTGTTGGTCAGGAGCCTCACAGGCCGTGGAGTCCCGCCGAACCGGAGAGCATCACCTCCAAGCGGTCCCGAGACGACAGCCTCCTTCCGCTCGTCATCCCCGTGTCCGTCCCCGTTCGGAGACAGGACCCCTCGTCTCCGGATAGGGACGGAGCAGCCATGGCAATCAGCTGGCCTCACCGGCCTCCTAACCACCAGGACCTGGAGCGAGCCGATCACAAACCCTCGGTCATCGTCACCCGCAGACGCTCGCTCCGAAACTCCTTATCAGAAAGTTCAGAGCAGGTGAGTGCTCACTTTTTTTTGTTTGTTTGTTTGTTTTGCTTTCTGTCCTGTCTTTCAATGTCATTTTAACGCTGTAATAAAAACAATCTGAAGACCTTCCTTAGAGCTGTGGGTAATAATCCAGCGTTCTGGATGTTTTAATTCCAGCTTTAAGTCCTTGAATTCATGGCATTCATGATGTCCCTCCCCCATTTTCTCCCTTTCCACTCATTCATCTGGGGGGGTTGGTGAACTAGATTCCCTGTCCCAGATCAGGCAGATTAGCAGCACTTTGATTCTGTACATTGTGTACCTTACATTTAGGGCCCTACGCTCTTTTCGGTCTATCTTTCGAGTAAAACTGCTTCACTAGCTCGCATTCTTTTACATTTTGTCTCAATCAGAAGGTGGCACCACGCATGCGAGTGTCGCCGTAATCAATGTTTCCACCTCCTCTCTCCAGAACGACGGCACAGAGGGACAGAGGGACGACGACGGCAAGAAGTCCAAACGGCGTCCCAGACCGGAGCCTCTCTTCATCCCGCCGCCCAAACCGAGTTTATTCATCGCCCCGCCCGTCTACTCCAGCATCACGCCCTACCAGAGCCACCTTCGCTCCCCCGTTCGCCTCGCAGACAACCCGATCACGATGCCCCCGTACACGCCTCCGCCGATCCTCAGCCCCGTTCGGGAGGGCTCGGGCCTCTACTTCGCCACCTTCCTCTCGTCGGCCGCAGCCAGTGGCCCGGGCTTGCCCCCTCCCGCGACTCCCAAGTCAGCCACTCGCAGCTTGTTGCGTTCCAGTGAGTGCAATGACATCTTGTCATCTGATATCCACGGAATGTGTGAACTCCCAACAAGCTATGCAGAAGCATAAGCACATTAAATAACAAATCTTGTTACTGTTACTAGCTTATGGTTACATTTTAGATCGAAGTAGTGCTGAAACAATTAACCGAGTTAATCGTGAAGAATTGGTTATTTAAATAATCGTCAACTCGTTTAGTAATTGATTAATCGTTAACTGGGGGTAAACAGGCTCAGAAAAAGCCCATTTGAGCAATGATCACACCAAAACTGTACAAAAAAAAATTACATTTTGCCTTTAAGACAAATAACCTTTGTGTGTATATGTTCTAACCAGAATTAGACAAGTGACATTTTTATCTTTACCTGGTTCAAATTCTGTAAAGGAAAAAAAAACTCTTATTCATCATCTTTTATTATCCAATTTTTAATCAGTTTGTCAAGTTAATTGATAAGTCTAGCAGAATGGGCTGAGCAGATCCAATTTTTTGTTTTTTTACCTGTAGCTGGATCATTTGCGTTAAATTATAAAGCGTTTACTAAAGGAATTCTGTGTTGCTGGATTTTAGGCAAGAGAATCTTGGATTTTATTTAAAAAAGGAATTGAATTATTTGTTGATTTGCATCTTTTAAATGCATTTCTCACATTGCATAAAAAAAACTACTCAATAAAAATTCCAAAAAAGGTGCCAGTATTTAACCGAGTCTATTAATCGATTGTCAGAATAATCCATAAATGAACTGATAACTAAAAATAACGAAAATAATTGTTAGTTGCACCGTAATTATCCTATCAGATGTGTCCTTTCCTGGCAGGATAAGCTAAGAGTGGGGTGGGTCAGGCTCCCTTACAGTGTTAGGTCAGATTTTCTGGACTGTTATTAAATGTATTCATATTGACATTTGCTTTCATGCAGTACAATTTGAAAAGAAGATTAAAGCAACTGTTAAAGCAGAGCTATCAGACATTTGTACATTGTCACCGACTGTGTTTTGTTTCGCCGCTCTTCAGACAGCTGCGACATCACGCCACCGGTGCTGTCCGCCATGAGTGAGACCACGCCGGTCAGCATCGAGCCGTGAGTATCCCCTTTCTCTCTGGAAAGCAAGCGCTTTGAAGGCCGACCGACATGTTCAAAGAGACGACGCGGCTCCTAATGCGGAAGCTCGGCGTTATCCTAGCTGGAGGAATAGCCCTGCGATCAATTATTCAAAACAACCCTGGATTGAGTCATAAATCATCTCAGAGGAGATCGCTATTTCTTGAAACTCTAAACCTGTCATTAAATGCAGCTGTACTCTCCACCGCTGTTACCACTTTGTTTTTTCATGGCCTCTCTTGTCATAACACAAGTTTTGTACAGGTCAGCCTTTTGTTACTGAAAACATACCTGACTCGACACATACAGTAAAAACTCACTTCTTGCTACTTTTTGTAATGTTTTGATTCAGGAGCAAGGAACAAGAGTTAAACGCTAGTTGACTTTGGTTAAGGGTTATCGTTTGAAAATGCACTGACTTTACATTATCCAGGATTGAACCCATACGTTTCGTTTTATCTTCTTTATGTTGGTTTACATAGACACAAAGGGTGTAAAAATTAAAGCTTCTTTCTGTTTCTTTAAAATAAACAAATAATCAAAGGCTACCTCATTTGAAAAGAAAGCAACCTGTTATACTGCCTCTTCCAACAAAAAATAAGCAAAAAAATAATTTTCTTGTTATCAAAACCCCAAGATTTAATATCTTAATTGTTCATTCATCTATCCTGCATCAGATCAGTTTTTTGAGACTTGCAGGAAATAAGCATTTCACAGAGAGAGAGGTTTTGTCTTGGACTGATTCATCTCAGGGCCTTAATTCTTTTTTGATTCTGTCATTCTGCAGATTTGTATCTGTGCTTAGAATCATGAACCCATTTCATGACCCTAACTGGGCCAGACGACAGAGTGGTGGTTTTCTTTACTAGTTTAAAACAGATGAACGATCAGCAGCACCTTGTTGCTGCTTTGTTTGCCCGTTTCTGATTGCATCAAGGATGCACTTATCTTCTATTTACATAGATTCATTAAAGTTCCTAGCTTTTGCTTGAACAAAACAGTTTAAAGGAAGGCGTTTGGCACTCGCTGAATTTATTTTGAAGCTCATTGAAGGCAATCGCCAATCCGTAGCCAGCCTCTGTGAACTGAAATGCGAAGTCTGTGGTTGGCGTGCCCAAGAGGGTGGCCTTGTGTTTGTCGCTGCGTCGGCAAACGAGCAGCAGTTTATGGCGTCGCATTGTTCAAGCCTCGGCCCGACTGATGCCATCTGCTCGGCTGTTACTCAGCCGCAGAGCACTCGGGCTTTTTCCACAAATCATGCTTTCAGTTGGGTCTCCCGAACTCACAAGAGCCACCGCAGGTCGGCTTCTACCGGCCCACCTTCCCTCGAGGGCCGCTAGAGTACACTCACGCGCAGTTAGCGGGAAATGCAGAAGAGGAGGGGACCGTCTGAATTGTTTTCAACAAATTGAAGTGAAACAGAAATATCTATTTAGAGGTGTGCATGGGGGGGAAAAAAAAGAAATTATTTAATAATAAACCTTTAATGATTTAGCAAAAATATGTTATTTTGTGATGCAGGTTTCGGATGTGGTGTTGCTTTTTGTCGGGAAAGCTTTAAGCAGGAGTGCCTCCGCAGCGTTCTCTAAGACTTTTCACAGAACGATGTTTTAATGCAAATAAACTGAAGAGTTTTACTTTGTAACTCCACATCTGTGCGGGTTGCAGATTTGTTCCCGCAGCAGCCAATGTGGTGTTTTTTTTTTTTTTACTTTTTTATTGTGGGCCTCATTGTAAAGAGTAATTTATTGGGGAAAAAACTCAGGCTTGAAGAGCAAAAACTCAGTGGAACAATAGGGTAGCTCACATTAAAAAACAGAAAAAAAGTTATACAACACAACAAGTTTTGCTCAAAAAAAGAAGCAACCTTTGGAAATCTTAATGTATTTGATTCTAATGTTCTGATGTCACCTCTGCAGACGAATTAATATTGGGTCGCGGTACCAAGCGGAGGTGCCAGAGCTGAGGCAGAGGTCAGCCGTCGAACTGGATCACCATCGAGCCGAACTGGTTTGGGCTCCACCGTCCGAACTGGAGGGGAAACCAGACTTCCAGGACAAGGGTGAGACAAACAAGCCAAGAAAGGAAATTAGAACAATTTTAGCTCCTGTTATTGTAAATGGACTAAAGCTACTTCTGTAGAATAATCATTCAGTATCTTTTTTTTTTTTACCAAGTCTAAGTCTCCCTTAGATTCCAGATTTCTCTGTTTCATCATCTTTCATCATGGAAATATGGTGAAAATAAATCCTGAAAGCGCAGTTGCTGTGGTTACGCTGACATTTTAACGTTCGCTGTCGACGTCTCTTTCAGTGGAAGACCTCATGCACCTGGCCTGTTCCAGTGTTTTATACGGAGGAGGCACCAACCAGGAGTTAGCACTCCATTGTTTATACGAGTCCAAAGGGGACATAATGGTGAGTGCAGCCGAGCGATCCATACTGACTGACTCCACCGCAGTTTGTATGAATAATAGAAAAATGGGCTAACATTTCCACAGCTGACAGAAGAGCCACGACTTTTCTACCATTTCAGATACAGGGTTTGTGTCTGTGCTGATTAAGTGTAGGCATGTTTTTTAAAAATGCACAAAATCAGATTTTAATTTAATTTTATTATTATTTATTATTCCATTGTTTTTGTATTTAAATTTTTTAATACTTTCTAACACTATCTAACTTCTTTGGAGTACGTTATTGTGTAAAGAAAACCAAAGCAAAAAGATTTTTAGTTTGTTACCAAACGACGCACGACGTACAGTCACAAAAATTAAAACTTGTGCTTTAGCTAAGCAGTCTAAATTATTAGCTGAAAACTTCCTTACCTCGGTTTAAAATTACAACCCAAACCGTTACGCATGCAAATGTGAGGCTTTATTAAAATCTACTACATCTAATTTACAAACCTCCCCTAATCTGATATCTCCTCTTAGCCATTTTTAAACATTTTTTACAATTATTTCTCGGGTTTGTGTAAGCGTGGGCATTGACCGTCTTTCGACGAGCCCGCGCCAGTTCGAAGTGACTGATATCTAGATTTTCACTTTGCTTTGTGCTGAAGCTCTGTGGTGATCTGAGATGACTGTGATAGTAAACCTGCCTGGTTGTTTATAGCCTGAGGCCCGCTGCCTCTCTGCAGAGCGGTGTGGGCTGCAAGAGCCGAAACAAACATTTTAGCACTTTGCCGATCAGTGAAAGCGGTCCGCATACTGCTGACGAATAAGAGGTTTTTCACAATGTGTCACACATATACCATCTCCGTTGCAGACATGCGCAGGTTAGCTGAAAGAGTGGCCAGTTCAAACGGGGCTGTTGAAACATTTGCCGGCAAAGATGAAGACACTGATTTGCTATTATTGAGCCTAAAATGTCAGAACCCCTCATTGTGATGCAAAACTCCTGAAACTGAGCAGACAAAGAAGTGCCACACCCATGCTCCAGAAATAAAGCAACCTGTCCCCAGTTCTGATTGCATCACAAGAAGGCCAGTAATGACATCAGAGGTTGACCTCAACGGCCACCTAAAATGTTTTAGTGCCCGGATAAATAAAACCCAGCTTCTTTTTGCTCTCCGTTGTCCCGAACTTCAGCTGAGAAAATTGTTTTGTAATGAGACAGGAAACGATTATTGGTAAATAGTGCGAGTTACTTCCCCAGTTCAACAAGAAAGGATTCTACTGGTTAAGTCTATTGTTATTCAGAGTAAACGAAACTCGATGTGCCTTGCAAAGACATTATTGCCACTTGACTTTATATCATTTTCACTTGTTTATAAATACAAATCAGGATTTCTTAGCATTTTTATTCAGCAGCTTTACTCTGACATCCCTAAATACAACACAGTTGGACATAGATTGTTGGTCAACAGCAATATCCAAGTCCTGCCACTGATTCTAAATCTGATTCTGTTTGGTTCCTGACCACAAGTCAAAACAGAATTTTTGACCACAAAAATTATTTATTTTTCTTTTAATAATTCCTTCTTTTGTTTTAGATGTTTATTAATATACAGATTTCATTAAAGAAAAGTCTATAGTTGAGCAAGTAAACCTCAAGAAAGAAAAATTACAAACGTTTGCATTTTTAATCGAGTGCTATTCGTAGGCTCAATACCTCATAGTGAAATCTAAAACAAATTCTTGCATCTTTAGAGAAGTTTGCTCCGAACGTCCCTGCAGCCCGATCCCGAGCTCTCGTGATGCTTTATGGTGCTGTGGGTTGAGATTTCAGGCCCGAGCGACCAGCACTGGTCCAATGTTGTCTAGGAAACTACGAGGAGGGGGCAGCCAAAGCGCCCACTCTCTGCAGCAGTCCGGCTCAAACTGCTGTCTTCCTACATTCACGCAGCGTCAGATGGTTTTCTCTGAAAGAGAACAGGGTCGATTCGACGACTTCTCTCGACCCTGATGGAGTCCAGTTTTACTGTGACGCCCGGTAGATTTAGCAGGAAAGACAAGTGGTTCACCCAACTCCTTGCAACCTCTGACCCCTTTCTCTAAATCTGCAGCCTCAAATAAAACATTTTTTTGTTTTTCCTCAGGCTGCTCTGTCTCTGCTGATGCTGAGGGATCCAATCTTCCCAAAGACACATCATCTATCCAGCTACCATTACTCGGGTAATTCATGCCTCACACAGATGACTCTGGAACCCCTCTGTCTTTCCATTTTCTCTCCCTCTTTCTCTCTGTACTGCCTGAAAGCAGCTGCAGCTCTGAAAGTGTGTTGGTGCCCTGGATGCCTGCGAAGGTTGATGTTCAGAGGGTGAAGGGCAATACAGCATGTGGTTAATCCCAAACAGAAGACAGACGAGGCATTGTTTAACCAGTGATTTTATTTATTTATTTTTTGATTGCATGTATGTGGTTTTAAGAATTGGGGGGTGGGGATGGGATTCCTCTTGTTACTTTCTCCTTGTACTCATTCTTATTCAGGAGCAAAAAAAAAAAAAAAAAAAAATATAATATATATATATATATTATATATATATATATATATATATATATATATATATATATATATATAATCTTCCCTTCCTCCTTCCTGCAGGATCAGACAGCTGGACGGCAGCTGAGAGGCGTCTGTTCAACAAAGGCATGGCCACGTGTAAGAAGGACTTTTTCATGGTGCAAAAGCAGGTAGGTGTGCTTTCGATCTGCAGAAAAGGAAACTTTTGATTCTTCCCGTGGCAACAAAAGGCCACCTGTATCATGTGTTCCTGTTCCGAGCGGAACGGGAACACATGATATACTGTGTCCTCTGCCCACTGTGTGGGCGGAGGAAAGGGAAATACAGTCGCTGTGGAACAGCGTTTCCGTTTCTGTTTCGATTGTTGCTCTGTCATTGTCAAGCAAGGTTTTTTTTTTTTTTTGCTTTGCTTTTCCACGACGATGCAGCAGAATTTGAGGTCGAAATTAGTGTCACATCGTTGATGGTTATGTGGTTTGCACACTCAGACTTTGCTCCACATGTTCTTAATCACAATTTTATGTCGGATGGTGCAAGAAACTGTAAAAAAATCATGTGCAAACGTAAATGATTTGGTTATATTTTGCTGACTCCACACTGTGTGGTGTGTTTTTTTGTGTGGTGTTTTTTTTTTTACAGCCCCTATAGAAGCATAGATGAATGTTAATTTAGCGTCTCTTGAAGAGTTTCAGGCAGAGGTTGCCAATTTTAATTAAAAAAAAATTGGTTGTCGTATTTTCAGAGATTTTTTTTGGCTTCTGTGAGATAAACTGGCCCACAGCTTCACAGATCACCCTCTAGTTAGGAATGTTCATCGTTTTATAACCAGATAGTGTTTTTGCTCATTTTTGCTAAGCCTAATTTTGTTTTCCTCTGACTAATAAACGCAGTTCTGTCCCAGCAGTGGTGATCAAACTTCACGTGCTTGTGTTTGCATTAGTGGAACAAAAAAAGTTTTTTTGTTTTGGTGAACAAAAAGTTTGGTGAACAGTTTCCTGTTCACACTGGCAAGATAAAAGTTTTTTCTTATCAAGCCATGAAAGTAGAAAAAACTTTTTTTAAACGTTGGTGTAGAAAGTGGCAATTCTAGAAGCTGAAATGTTTCACTGATACCCAGCTATAACAACAATTCATAACCAAAAAAAAGAACGGGTGTTTGGAAAAGGATTTGTCTTTTGCCGCGATCGAAATATGCAAAAATTGTGACGCAGCGTGTACGGTCCGCACAGGTGACGACCAAGACCGTGGCGCAGTGCGTGGAGTTCTACTACACGTACAAGAAACACGTGAAGATCGGCCGCAACGGAGCGCTGACCTACGGCGAGAACGAGCCTCCGGAGAGCAGGACGGCAGAGGAGGAGCAGGACCACAAGGTCAGTCACGGCCAGTATTCACCCAATCTTTATCATCCCCGAACGTCCACCTCTCTGAAACGACGTCACGGACGTCTCGGACGTCTCAGGAAGACGGCTCTCTCCTGCCAGAGCGCTGCGTCTTACTCTGCGTTTTTCTCGCAGGCCGCTCAGAGACTGGAGCCGCAGCAGCAGCAGCAGGAGGAAGAGGACAGCAGGAAGTGGGACGGTTCAGCTGACAGGAAACAGGATGTCTGTCCCACCAGGGTGACACACACGCTGCCGTCCACTGAGAATGTAAGTGTGAAGTCACCGACTCAGTGTGAAGGCTTTGATCACTGTGAGCTTATTGTACAGTTTATGCAGAACTTTGCAAGTTCTGGTGTACATTTCTTCCTCATTCTTTCTTAAATCCATTGAAGTTGTGTTTTAAACATTTCTTAAAGGAAATCTGAACACAGACACATTTAGATCACACTGTGAATAAACATAAACATGTTTGGAGACTAAAACTCTAAGCAGGTCGAAGCCAGAAGCTTCTCATGATTTAGTGAATTTCAACACTCTGTTCTACGTGTTCCTGGGTGGGGGAAAAAAAAAAAGTGATTTCATCATGCACCGTTTTCGTGTTGCATTCAGAGCTGGTGGCGAGGTGTTGGATCTGCTGCCCCCCACTGGGCTTTTCTAGAAATAACTTGTCTCCTGTCTCTGCTGGGAAGGGAAACAATGACTCAGCAGGAAACTTTTGCACTTGTCTGGTTGATGTTGTTTGGAGATGAGTTCTGCCTCTGTGGTTATGTGATCGGACACATGTCCACACACAGCTTGGAAAAGCATGAAGTCGTTTTTCACAGGTCTGAATAGTTGAGGAGTTGAAAGTCGTCTTCAGACTTTATTCCTCTTGTTAGCTTGTAAATGTTGCATACGTTCAACAATCCATATGATCATCCATCTATCCCAGTTTCCTTCTCTTTTTGTTCTGTCCTTTTCTTCCTTCCTCATTTTTTTCCTTCCCTTTCCCTTCTTCTATTTTCTTTGTCTTCCTTTCTTTTTTCTCTGTTACTTTCTTTCTCCTTTTTTTCCTTCTTTTCTTCTTTCCTTTACTCCTTACTTACTTACTATTTTCTTCCTTCTTTCCTTTTCTTTATGCCTTCTTTCCTTCCCTCCTTGTTCCTGTATTTTTTTCATCATCACTAGTGTTGCTTTTAACCTTTTTCTTCCTTCCTTCCTCCTGTCTTTCCTTCATTTTTTTTATCCTTTTCTTCCTCCTTAAATTCCTTTTTTTCCCTTCCTTCCCTTTATGGACTAAAACTTCTCTTCTTTTTTTTTTTAGCTTGCGACAGTCCTCATCATGAAGAGCCAGGCGGAGGTGGGAAGGGAGCAGCCGGTGTCCAGGGTCATCCACCACACCCAGCCGCCCCAGACCAAACCGCGCTTCGACGGCAACGGGCGCCGGCCGAGCCCCCCGTCGGTCAACAAGGCCTCGGCGGGGCAGGAGGGCGAGTTCCCCTGCAAGAAGTGTGGCAGGTGAGCGATCAGCGCCGCCGCCGCTGTAGCAATCTGCTTACCGATTCGGCGCCGACGGGGAGAGCCAGCAGGGAACGCTGCCGCTTCCACTGCCCTCTCGGAATATGAATCAGTAAACAGAGGCGAGCATTTCATGGTCTGTGTTTGAAAGAATTACCCTTCCTGTCATGCTTTGGTTGAATAACAGCTTGTCCTCTGGCAACACCGGTTCTGTTACTGCCAGCCGTGTCCTAGCAACCGAAGCGCAGAGCAGATAAGGCACGTCTCGGCGATGCAGCTCTGCCTCTGCGAGAGCTGCGTTCGCTCTGTAAAGTGTCCACATTTGAGACGATGGTTTTCTTCAAAGGGTGTGAATGCTTGCCGCTTTCCACCCGACACGCGTCCCGATGGAACCGCGTCCCGATGGATTCTGCCGCGCAGCAGGAACTGCGCGGCAGAATCTGTTCACATTTAAACAGAAACACCCAAGGATTTTTCTGTAGCTTTAAATGTTTCTAGCAGCTTCAGTACATGTTTGTGATTTTAACTTTTTATCGACGGGACATTCGTACATCTCTGAGAAAATTCAAAAAATAAAATCCCAATCCTTTGAAATTTCTGGCTTTACCTACATTCATCAGATTTAAATTATTATTTTCTTTTTACTCTATTTAATCTTGATGAGTATTTTGAGCCTGTTCAAAATACTTAAGGTATTTTATTTAAATTAGGTTTTATGGACCCGCACAAATTAGTTCATAAGTGCACAATCATGTGAAATTATAAATGGTTTTAAAACTTTTTCTCCCCTAAAAAAGCAATTGTATTCCCCTCTTACTCTTCTGTCTTTAAATTAAATTCAGTGCAACCAAATGTCTTCGAGATGAGTTACATCAGTAGATACTGATGGTCCACTGCACCACACAACATCCCACAAACCTCACCTCTTATGGAAGACCAGCGAGAAAAACGAAAGGATTTTGATGGTACTAATTTGGTTAAAAAAATAATAAAATATAAGTACGCCTTTTTAGCCCTTTTTTTGCCTCCAAAAAATAGTCGACAGATCAATTTCCTTTTTTCTATTTTTTTTTCCCCCCCCGATTAATCGGGGAAAAAAATCATCAGGGAACCAACATCAGATACATGCCACACTTTTCAGATATCTTGTTTAAAAATTTGAAAACAACACATCGTCTTCCTTCCACTTGGTAATTTTTCATCATATGTCTCAGTCTATTACGTGTAATCCCAATGAATTACATTGAACTCTGGTCTGAGTGCGGCAAACTGTGGTCAGATTGTATTTTTCCGAGCCGTTCCATCTGCCAGCGTAAGCAAATTCTTTTTCCCGCTTGAAACATGACAACGTGGTTGTTCTTTTTGGTGACCGTGAAAACTCGCCACATGGTAACTCGCCCGATCGCTCTGTTCCCAGGATTTTCTACAAGGTGAAGAGCCGCAGCGCCCATATGAAGAGCCACGCGGAGCAGGAGAAGAAGGCGGCGGCGCTGCGACAGAAGGAGGCGGAGGAGCGCGCCGCGGCCAGGGCGGCAGCCGAGGCCGCCGCCGCCGCCCTGGCCGCGCGGCACCAGAACGGAACGCGGCAGGCGGTCGGCGACAGCGCCAACGACGACTCCTCCGGCGGCGAGGACAGCGACGACGACGACGACTGGCAGAATTAGGGTGGAGAGGCAGAGACCCTCTGCACCCCTCCTTTTTTTTTATTTTATTTTTTTACAAACCGCCGTTGCTCGGCTACGATCACCGCTGAAACTTCAGCGAGCGTCTGGATTTGTTGGGTTCTTCCCAAAGCTCCCTTTCACTCAGCTTTTCCAAGAGTGGTGCCTCTCTCGCTCACAGGGCTCGGTGAAATCAAAGCCATGCGTCGTCCTGTTGGATTCCCAGCCGCCGCCGCCTTCCTCCGCACTTTGAGTCCCGCCTCCCGCTTTGCTCCGACAGGCGCGTTGGATCTCCCCTTCCGTCTTCTGTTTTCCTTTCACCCCCAGCTCCTCTTCGGACCTCAGTCGACCGATATCCGACAGTCGAGGGTGAAGTGGGAAAGAAAGGCTGCTTCCTGGGACGGACGGATGGCGTGTTGTTCAGACTGTTGTTGTTGACACTCCGCTGCACTAACAGCTGCCAAAAGTGGGGTTTTTTTTAAGCATGAAATGGGTTCTGTCTGTTTATCCGGGCTTTTGGTTCTGTGAATCCCCCGTCATCAAAGTCCCTTTTTTTTTCTTTTTTTTTTTAAAATAAAACCTGCTCTGTTCCTCACTGTTTTATGCCTTGGATGTTATGACAGTTTTATTTGAAAATGACAATCAATTTTACTCTGTTGGTGTTTTTTATGGACGTGTATATAAGCAGGTCAACTTCCCCCCCCACCTCTTTTTCTCTGTAGTTCTATGTGGTTCTTGTTGTTTTTGTGAATATTATTAATTATTATTAATATTATTATTAACATTATTATTATTATTCTAGTTTTGGCTGCAGTATTGTCGAGCGCTTTTTTAAAAGATTTTCTTTTTTTTTTTATTTAAACAAAAACAATTGCTCTTTGCTACCTGTTTATAACTGTGATTCTGTTTTTGTTTTTTTTTTAATAACTATTTTTTTTGTTCTTTCATTGGGAGCCAAGAAATGAAGAAAAGGCAGAAGCGTATGTGCAATAGAACAAGTTACCCCCTCTCGCTCCGCAACACGGTGTTCTCTGTCAGCTCAGCAGCAGCTGCTCCGGATGCCTCGCTGTCGGCTCCGACAACCGGCCCAGTCCAAACCTAACACCGCGCTCCAGTATTTACGGCATGACATTGGCTTTCACAATGTGTGCTTCTGTTTTTGTTTTTTCTTTGTTCTTAATTGTGAGCGAGATGGTCTGTCGGTAAAGATACCTCAGTATGGCAGTATTTACACGAGAAATCTTTAGACTGTAACGTATAACATGTTTGAAACAAATTGCTAATGCCACGTTTAGCATCAGCTCATCTTTATTTTGATTCGGATACACAGACGTTGGCAAAAAAAGAAATGCACGTCGGCTAGTTTTCTAGTAAACGCCACATGGATGGGAGCCGTCTGTCAGTAAACCGTTTGCGTTCATCAACAGCCGAGCTTTTTGCAAAAGTAGTGATTTGCAGTAATTGATCAGATTTTTATTCCGAACTAATGGTTCTGCCTCCTGCTTCCTACCTCAGCTTTGTAGCCGTTCCACAGACTGTTAACAGTAAGATCATTTCAGCAAAAAAATAAATGAAAATTTGTAATCCTTTTTTTCTTTAGTCCCATCTAATCTGAGCTCAGAATTGAAACGTGAGTAAAAAGTGATTTGACTTTTTTTTTTTAAATGGAGCTTTTCCATTGTTCTTGTTATGGATTTAGATATTGATATTTCACTCCTTTTTGTTCTCTCTCTCTCTCTGTCTTTGTTATTTCTGATAAAATCTCAAGCGTTCCTTACAAAGGCTTGTTTTCCACGCTCTCTAAAAGCCTGTTGATGGCAGGAAATCATTTACTGACAAACAGTAGATTCCGATCTAGACGGCCGAACTAAAATCTCTGCTTGCTCTTAATATTTTAACATTAGAACGCGTCGATTGCCAAGACTAGATCTCTTCTAAGACGGGAGATAAATCGGTGTCTGCCTTTGGATATTTGCTCTGAGATTCCAGATTTGGCTGAAAAAGCTGTTCAGATGACAATTTGTCATTTATTTTCCCCCCAATTATTAGTGTTACATTGTCTTTTAGATGCTGATATAAAGAGAAAGTTTTTATCTTTCGAAGCAGACTGTTTGCATCTGTGATTCCTCTGTTCCTCGTTGGACCATTGCGACCGTGACTCATCTGTTGCTACATATCCCAGTGTTGAGCCCCTTTTTAGCCCGGAGCCGTCGAAGCAACAAATAGGTGAAAAGGTTGTTTTCCTTGAAAAGGACAAACTGGAGAAAGGAAGGAAGGAAGGAAGGAAGGAACGTTGAGTGGGGAAAGAGTCAAAAACAGGCAGAATCAGCTCTGCTCACTCTACGAGTTCGAATCTGCGTCTATGCACAGGCTGTGTGTGCGCGAGTGTGTGTCTGTAGCATCCTGTTAGCGGTGTGCGTGTATGAGTTCTGCGAGGTCAAATGTTTGACTGCAGTACCAGTAACAAACAAACAAACAAACAAAAAAAGGGTTTTTGCAGACTGTTCACGTTTGGTATGTTAATTTATATCTTTTTATTTGGGCTCGTCTCAAGGTTCTCGTTTGGGTTTCGGGTGGGGAGGGGAGCGATGTTGCAAAAACAAAGCAAAAAAAAAAAAAAGGTTTCACAGAAGAATTTTTACGGATGGAAGTGGAGGCCACTGACACTTCTCGTTTCGTCCGGCTGGTTGAGGGGGGGGGAAACAAATTTCCGAAGAAAATGTTTATTTAGCTAAAGATTGGAAATATATAATATGAACGGAATTCTATGTTTGCATACTTTTTATGCTATTTTCGTATAGGGTTCACACTAATGATAAAATCAGAAAGGAATCTCAAGTGCTTTTTACTACGGTGTAACTTATTTGTGTTGATTTGATTTTTACCACCTGTGTTTTTAGTAATGATTTCTGGAAGCACTGTATATTAAAGGTTCAAAACATTCTCCGAGCGGCTGCGTTTGGTTCCTGGTTTCTCCTTGCACAGAGCAATGATGGCTGCAAGTTGATAACACTGACTGAAATGAAATGGGGATCAGTGGCATCTTCACTGTTTTCAATTAAATCCAGTTTATAAAACACCAATTCACCAAATAGAAGAAAATTAATTATCATAATTTAGTAACAGGTAATTTTCTCCCTTGCTATTCTCCTCCATTCTCTGTATCTACATTTTTTTGTTTCAGAGCTGCGACATCATTTGGACAAAATTGGAAATACACAGCAGAGAACTATTTTTAATATATTTTAAAGAAATTATTTCACTCTTGTGTGTTTTTTTTTCTTCTTTTCTAACTTTATTTCACTTTAGAAGAGCTGTGAAAGAATCACATTGAAATTAAAATTTCAATGTGATTCACTGATCGCAACAGAGAGAGGCAGATGTGCTGTTAGTCAACGTCTTCTTGTGGTGGCAACCATAACCTCGCTGAGGGGGGGGGAAGAAAAAAAAACGCTCGACAACCAGGGCTTTCATTGAAACAGCCGCCCATATAGTCGCTGCCAGGAAAATCATGAAGGAAGCAACAGTTCTCCAGATCGTCACGAAATCAAACGTGAGATTGTTGGTGTCGACCAGCAAGGCCTGCATTCTAAAAAATAAAGAGAGGGGGAAAAAAAATAAATAAATCAGTCCTTGAGCAATATTTCACACTGATTTCTTTCCTTTTAATCAGTTTTTTTATGCTCCGTTTGGAATTTTTCATTAAAAAAACACCTGATTAGAAAATGCAAGAAATAACCTCCACCACCTGGACTCATGAAGACTGGGCTGCAGAATCACCTTGCCACCTGTAGACGTAATAAGTACATTGAACCATCCTTTAAGTAGATAGGAATACCTGGAAGTGTAAATGAGTGTTTGCTTCTCGTCCAAAGTGTGTTTCTTTACACCAATCTGCCCAAGCAACACAGATGATTGAAGAGTCGTATCGAAGCATGCAGAAATCCAGACACAGTTTATTGTTATTGGCCATCTGTGTGTTTTCCCGGATGATGGAGCTCCCTTATTCCAAAGCATCACAGTAGTAAGAATGTGTTTAGTATTGCTGCAGATGAGCCAAAAGCTGCTGTCAGCTACAAGAACTGACAGGAGAATGAGCCGGCAGTGTGGGAACTGTTACCACTCAAACACTGGCCTCGTAAAACCTTCAGAGTAGATTTACTTGTTTCAAAGTACAGCATAGAAACATATATGCATAGAATAAAAAAATAATCCAAAAATAACAGATCACCTGTGTCCTTGTCCTGTGACTCGTGTCCAGCAAAAACACCTCCAGGGACAAACGGGTGTAAACAATAGGCGGCACTGGAACACCAGGGGGCGGTGTTGTTCCAGAATTGGTTTGACTTCTAAAGTCTTTTGGCCTCCCAAGAAGTTTTGTTGTTGTTTTTTAATGTTTCATTTTCGGAATGAATGCATAGTTTGCAAACATTTCACCTTACTTAAAGCTCATATGCCCCCATCAGGTGAGCTGTGTTACTACTTTTGGGACTTTTATGAAGGTAAACAATGCTAAAGTGTCTGAAAAATGATGAAGTCAAGAGTGCATTGTCTGGGAAAGAACATTGCGCTACTGGCAAGGCGATGTATGGAACCTACCTTGGATTGATTTATGTGTTGGACGACCTGTTCATGGTGTGTATCTATAATATTTCTTTAGTGGGAAGACAGGGAAACCCCACATGCTTCTAAACCCGGCCCTGACCTTGACCCACATGCTGCTTGGCAAAGTATCTCACAACTCAAACAGATCACAAATGGCTTATAAAATGTTTGACTCGTTAAGAGTATCAACAGAGAGAGAGTTCATAAATGTAGATATTTTTGTCCTGGGGGGAGAAAAAAAAAGAAGAAGAAGAAGAAGAAAACCCCAATTTTTTCACCGCCTTCATGTTTACGATTATGACATTGGAGGACGGTTAGGCAATAACTGTGGAGCAGCGGGATCTGGCTGTGTCGGATCAAATGATGACAAGAACGGCTTCCTTCTCCCTCTGGCTCCGCAGCAGACAAATCTGGGAAAGGCAAACAGGAACAGCATGCGGCTCAGATGTGTCCTCGCGTTCTGCTTTCGCCAGATCCGAGGGGTAGGAGGAGGAGGAGCAGGAGGAGGAGGAGAAGGACAGCATGGAGGAGGAAGACATAATATGTGGGAAGGGAGGCGAGGCATGCACAAGAACTTAATCTGGTGAATTTCTGGAGAAAATTAGAGATCAGAGTGATATCTGGGAAAGTTTAATGAAAGAGTTCTTGCATCTCTGTATGAAAATTGGCATTTAGACATTAAACTTAAAATGCTCCTTTTTTGAGATCCCTCTGATCCAGACATTTGAGTGGCCTTCAGGGTAAACACGGGAAGAAACCCCAACCGTCGCACGATGCTGTTTACTTTTATGTGCTTCATTTAAAAAAAAAAAAAAGCATTTATTTTCAAAGTACAGGGCCATATCCTCCTCATCAGGAGCCCCACTGCAGATGCTTCCTCCTGGCTTTTGGGTGGCCTTTCATACTCCCCGCTGTTTGCAGGAAGCCGCCTGCCCATACAAACAGTTTCCACGGCACAGGCTCAACTTGTTCTGGTAAACGAGACGGGAGAGTGGATGTGGATGTGGAGAAAGTTAAAGTTGAGATGTGAGGCAGCGACTGACGACCGAGGGGTTAAAAAAAAAAACAAAAAAAAAACGTGAAATCAAGAGTGGAAGGCTTTAGAAACAAAGACCGCAGATGTTCATCGAAACCAGGACAGCTGGACTTTATTTCCTCACCAATATGTTTCGTGTTCCTGCTGTTGCTGCTGCGTGTGAAATCTAAACACACATCTCATACGTGGAGAAGGTTTTTCCAAATGAATTTGCATCATCATCATCATCATCATCATCATCATCAATAGTCTTTTACATTTCAAACACATAATATGTGTAGACTTCTGACAGCCACTGCTGGTAAATAAATGGCCTTAACGTTCTAAAGGAAGATATCAAATTTGTCTGAATTACTGCTAATCAACAACAACTTAAAAAAAAAACTCTACGCACCTTTATGAAGCTTGGACTTCTTCCCATTTGCTGGCATTTTATTCAGTAGATAAATTGTATTGTATCGTGGAAGGAGCTTAATAAAGTGACTTCCAACTTTTCATTTGACAATTATCCTGGTTGTACCTTTGCAAACTCTACCAGGTTTTCCTCAGCGCTTGCCTACTCCTATCAACTCCAAGGCCCGATGCTGCCACCCTGTTTCACCATGCGAGCCTTCACTTTCAGCGTTATTTCTCCTTCTCGCCTTGCAAATTTTTGTTTAGGATGAAAAAAACACATCGATTTTGACGCAAACAGAAAATCTTCACCCTTGTGTGTCGTGTCTAAATTGTTCTATGACCTCCTCTGACACCTTCGTGGTTGCTGGCCACTTTTTATTTTGCCTCGCGACTGTGTGCATAATTCCCTCCTCGGATCGATCCTTCACTCTCACTAGCAGGTTGAGCAACATACCAGCAATATAACTTGTGCTCATTCGTCTCATAAGATGGAAGTGCTCTCTGCTGGAAACAAAACAAAACAGATGTTCATTGGAATATTAGTGGACAGGGGAGACGTGTGTGTGTGTGTGTGGGTGTGTGTGTTTTCGCTGGTTCATATCAAAACTGACAGGGTGGAGTTCATGACCTCACACATCTGAAACGGTTTAAGGGATGCAAAATGCGTTTGGCTCATTTCTTCTAAATGCAAAGAAATACTTAGAAAACATGGTGGAACATGGAGGAGCAGAGTTATGATCCTACTGAAGCATCACTGTTTTATTCATAATGATAATTTGCTATTCCCCGTTATCGTTACCGTGCCGTCACCTTCACTTTCATTGGGTGTGGGGGGATTTCAACATGTCAGTCATATGCAATAAGCTTCACTTCTTCTCCTTTTTTCAGCCACACAGGAAGCAGCGGCCTCTGAACCGTTGACTCAATGTCTCAACGACAAAGTTCTGGTTGAAATATTGTTGTCGTTGTTTTTGTTCTTTTGTTGTTGTTTTGTTAGGGAGAAAGAAAGACATAATGAAGTGGAATCAAAATGATACTTGTTTTTATGTACAAAGAAAATTAAAGTCACGTTCAACCGATTGTCTTCAGAAAGCACCTGATTCTCATCTTTGTGACTGATTGTAATTATGCATTTCACCACCAGGAGGCACCAAAGCCAGAAATCAACCACAGGTTATCCATGCAAGTAGAATAATGTTACTTATGCATTTTTTAAAATATTTTTTTAATTTTTTGTCTGTTTGTTTTGACTGTTTGTGTCTGCTTGTACAAGAAATATAAAATATAAAACTTGCCCTGGATCGTTTATTTTTTATTATCATTGTTGTGGGACACGAACATCCGCATCATTTATTAGAACGGTATGAGTTGAACCAACATAAAGTACGAGTAAACATCTCAAAAGAACGCGTGTTTGTCCATTTTTCTTTGCAAAAAAAAAAAAAAAAAAAAGTTTCAGGTCTGGACTTTGACTGGACCACACAGCTCTGGCTGCATGTTTACTGTCGTTCTCCTGCAGGAACGTGAACGTCTGCCTCCGTCTGCTGCTTACAGGTTCTTGTGCTTCACATGACACCCTGGGTGTCATGTGCAATATGTTGTTCATTTGTCACTTTCAGGACCGCAGCCAGACTCCAGTCCTTCGCATCCTCGCCTCTTGCGCTCCTCTGGACTGCTTGGCCATCCATGTGTAATTAATGGCACCTGTGAAAAGCCGCATTTTCCAGCCGTTTCTGGATCCGTGAGACTGAATTTACAGCCTCGTGACTGTGAGGGTCCCTGATTCACGCTGACGCCGCAGCGTCAGCTTCCTCCTCCTCTTCCTCCTCTTCCTCCTCTTCCTCATGCAGCTCGACTTAATAGAAAACAGTTCATCTTTTTTAAGTGCAGCAATGGGACTTTATGGCGGTGCTTTCTGCTCGCATGATGCTTCAATTATGATGCCTGGAAATTAATCCCTCTCCCCCACTATACCTATAGCTATATTATTTAGATGATTATTAATAGTGGAAACAGCATTATTGGCTTTTTTTCTTTTTTTTTTTGCGTTTGCGCCAAAACGTCATCTGAACGTTTTAGTGTCCTTTGTGGAGGCTCCTTCTGGCACAGTGTGACAGACAGACAGACAGACAGACAGACAGACAGACAGACAGACAGACAGACAGACAGACAGACAGACAGACAGACGGGTTGTCTGTTGGGGCTTGTTTGCGCCGGTTGCCATAGCAGTGGGCGGATATTACAGGCTGGAGCGTGGCGCCGCATGATCGAGCGCATGCAGCCGTGCAGGGAGCAAAACGGCTTTTGCGGAGAGGATGATGATGATGATGATGATGATGATGATGATGGAAGTGCGCAGATACTCAAAAGAATGTGATATATATATATTTTTTTTCATCCCTTGTTCTTTTTCTTTTTGTATCCACGGCCTTGAACCTCAACGCCTGGCTGCTGCAATGGCCTCATCAGCCCTGGCTCTGGAAATGACAGCTCCACAACAGTTTCCAGTTGCATAATATGGACACATTTAGCTCGTCTTATGAGAAGACAGTCGAAAGCTTGAAAATGATTTGTTCTCTTGAAATCTCAATTAGCAGCAAACATGCCTCAAACTTTCATTTTTTATTTTTTTTTATTTTAAATAGCTTTGCTTAATCATTCAAACACCTGACTGACACTGAAAATGGCCCCACTTTCTGTTTTCTTTCCTTTTTTATTTTCTTTTCTAAAATGTCAGGCTTGATCAAACTGAAAATCAGGAGAATTTTTTGGGACGGCTGCTGATTTCGATGATCCTAACCCTAAACTCCACACAAATTCTCAGAGTTTTTTTTTTTTTTTGTGTGTGTGTGTGTGTATATTTGGTTCCAACTGAAAAGAAACATGAAAGGCAGGATTTAAGCCTGGACTAATGAACTATTCCTACACCAATCCTGAAGGGACAGGCACTGGACAGGAGATGAAGACAAAGCAATTTGTATGACAGCTCTCAACTGCATTTTTGATGAAGTCAAACTTTTGCTTCAGTGCTGAAACACTCATGGGTTTCTCACAAAAAAGAAACGCCACATAGTAAAGGAATACCAAAGACACAAATTTCATAAAATGTTTAATTGGACAAGCTGAAGCCAAAGAGAGATGTCTCTATAACTAAACAAGAAATGATAAAATAAAGAAAGTGATGGTCCAAAACAAGTAGAACAACAACAAGAACAACAAAATAAAAAAATAAAAAAGCAAATGCATTCAAATTATTTCCTGCATTGGAAGCGGATGATTTGTTTAGAGGTTTGCTATCGTCTGAGAGGTTTGGTTTCTTCTATCTTGTTTTCTCTGCGGCGCCTTGGCCTGCAGAGGCAGCAAAAAACAAAAAGAAAGCTCAGGTCAAACAGTCCAAAGTGCGAAGACGGATTTGCTTGCAGTCAAGTCTGATGTAAATAATATATATGGAAATGTTTGAAAAAAAAAAAAAAAGAGGAGACGGTACCTGTCTATTTGTAGGAGTGGCTTTCAGCTCCACCACGTCCAAATCCTGAAACGCAGACAGAAATGCGCAGGTTAGGTTTAAAGGTATAATTACAATGGAGCCTGGGTGTTAAAATCAACTCACTCTGTAGGTTTCTGACAGAGACTACATATGGTATTTATAACATGTTTAGTTCAGGGAGTGACAAGGTCACGGCTCACCTTTAGGTCCAAACATTGCAGCGTAGCAGGGGTTGTTACAGTATGGCTTGCCTTCATGCTGTGGGAAGAGAAGAGATTTTTATTATTATTATCATGGAAAGATGAGGCTAATGCAAAGTAGATGGAAACAAGCGACTGAGTGAGAAACTTGCTTCGTTTGCCATTTCATTATCGAAATGCACCAAACAGGCCTCTGACTCGGCTTGGTCAGCTTTGACCAAATCCGTTTTTCTCCTGAGTGTGCTGCAGTTTTTCCATATGCAGGTGGATGTTTTGCTAAAACCAGAAGCAATGCATCTAGCTGCACGTTACTGCCCCACGCTGACGGGAGGGGGGATTATATTTTTCAGGATCTGACCACCCAGTCAGAGGTCATAGAGCAAAGACAACTGGCAAACTCCGATCTCTGACCTGTGTAGCTGTGCATTTATTTAATTCTTTGCAATATTCAGCACTTTCTCCTCCCCTATCAGGTGGTGTAATTTGCCGTTCTACCTCTGCATGCGAGCCAGCCGACAGCGTCTTGTTGCACTTCTCGCACTTCAGACATGGCCTGTGCCAGTCCTTCCCCAGCGATGTCACCCTCTCAGCTGCAAAACACACAAATGGACAAATGATTAATATCAGTAGCAGTTTAACCCCCACTGTGAGGATCGGTTACTGTTGTCTGGGAAGGAGATGAAAGTCGGAGCGTCACGCTGCAGGGCACATGAGCTCATGGAGCCGGGAGTCGTTTTAGTGCCGTGTCTGCTTTAAACCACAAAGATCCACTCGGTTTGGAAACCCTGCTGGGTGTGGTTGAGGGAATAGAAGAAGAAAGAAAGAAAAAAGGACTGAATGTCCCAGAGGGAATCTGTCCTCCTTGTGCCTCATAAACACAGATAAAGACTTTATCAGTTATGAAGGATCTGTGCCAACCTCCACCCACCCAGGAGGACTGGAGGAGAGGCTTAGGGAAATGACAGAACAGCCTCGTGTTTTTAGACGAAGCAGAGCTGAAACACATTTTGAAACTCACGATGACGTGAGGGGAAGCGAGTCCACGGATTTGCATATGTTAGCAAACAAGGCGTGCGTTAGAGAGGGAGCCATTATAGGGCAGGGAATGAGGAAAACGGAGAGGCAGGTTACTGAAAGTGACCCGCTCATGTTTTGATTCGGATGTAGAGTCAAACCATTCGGACGAAATCTTTATTTCGTGACTTTGAAATTAAGATTTCAGAGTCACGAAAGGCTTGTCCAGAGTCCTTCCCAACATTTTTTAAAATATTTTGTTCATGTAATTTCTTTGTAGCAAACATCTACTGTGAAGTAAAATTGTGGCATCTTAGTATCTACGAGGAATTTAAGTATTAATTATAGGGGAGCACTGAGCTATGAGTCTGGTTACCTTGTAATGTCATAGCAGACTTAGAAGTTCAACATTTTTCATTCAAGCTTTCTACGGCTGTTTGGATTAGAAAGCAACAGTCTTCCCCTTCCCCCACCTATTGCTGTGCACTGCTTCACAGTTGGGATCTCTGGAGGCCGCTCAACCTTTCATCTAGTCATGGAGACAAATTAGCCTGCTTGGAAATATTTGCAGTTCTGTGTGAAAAAGGACGACGAGAACCTCATGCCGGCCTACGCTTTCTATGGTTTGCCGTGACCGGACGCAAACCCTCTGAATCCTGGTGGCAAATGCATGAAAGAATGAGAAATAATTACAATAACAGGCAAAAGCCACCGGCTTTCAAACATGTCAGGAAGTGGATTATTTGTGCCCTAAGAATAGCCCACTGTGGCAACGGATTACGAGTAAGTCACGAAGAAGCATGTGTAAGAGTCTCCGGGGTTGGGTCAGGCGCTCAGGCCTAGAGAAAAACAAAACATCCCGACTGGATGCGGTGTGGTTTTGGAGCAAAGGTTCGTATCCATTAAAAATCTCCGTCTGACCTCAAACGGCGAACCAAGCAGGCCTGATAAACGGCACGCCCGGCCCAAAGAGATAAATACAAACAGGTCCGTTCTACTCGGCTGTAATTGTGCCCAAGTTATAGATCTGATAAGGCCAACCTCAGTGTTTATACCTGATAATAACGAGGGCTAAATGAGGCGTGACAGATTGGAGGCTAATTATCCCCTCTGCTCCCGGCTGCCCGGGGTTTTATGGCAGCGGTCCAGGACACACAAACACAAAAGTCTCCCTGTAAAAACATCGTGAGTGAGAGCTGGGAAGGATTAATGGAGCGACATTGTGACATGTCGCGCGCAAACACTGCGAACGGATTTAAAAGGACACTTGTAAGACGTTAGGATCATCCTTCCACTGGATAACTGCCTTAACGTTGATCCAGATTGGTGGGGACTGAGGAAGCCAAGTGCAAAGACGACTTCTACGGTCTTGAAGTCCTCCGTACGCTTCATCGAATTATTAAACACACTATTCTCATGTTTCCATCGTGTGCTTATTTTCATAGAAGCAAATGATTGTTTATACAGGAAGCAGGAGAAGGACACGGTGCGCTCCCAAGGTCCTTCCTGTTTGGAGCACGAGAACCGAGTGTCAACTGGGCTCCAGTCAGAGTGACTATCCAACAGACAATTAAGATGCCATAAAAACCAATAGCAGCATTAGCTGAAATCTCCATAGTATTTTTTTCTATTTTTTCGTTCAGTTAGGTCTGAATGAAAGCGCTCGTTTCTTTCCCTGCATGTGTTTCACACAGGGAGATTGTTGACGGTGCACAGCCTCCGACCTCCTTCTTCCTGTGAAGAATCATCAACACCAATGTGATGGGTGCTTGGAAGCTGCTGAACTGATGTTTGCATGAACTATTTCTCTACTCTTTAGAGAAATGGAAGATCTTTCTTAGCGTTTCTTCATTTTCAACAAATATCAATGGCGAGGGAACCCGAGCTACTTTAATGTTGTGGTAGAACATTTACCAGTGTCATCTGCCAAGGGGTTCGGTGAACAAGACTTTCCGTTTCCTTCTACTAAACCTAAAACATTCCCATTTGCGCTCTGGGCTGAGGTCTCGCCGTCAACAGGCGGTTTGAAGCGTTTCCAGCAAAAGAAAAGCATTCCGCTGTTGTTGGACCTCCATCACTCAGGCAGGCAGACGGCGGTAGCCTGATTGTTTCCATCTGAGCAGCAGCAGCATTAAGTTGGACAAACGGTAACGCAGACAGAAGGCGTGACTGAACGAGCCGGACGCGAGGGGGAAATGCGAGGAGTTTCATTTGAGAGAAAGGAAACCGATTCAGACGTTTAAAGATGACGGTGAATGTGCTCGTTTTCAAAAGGGAAGTGAGAACGCTGCTTTCCTCCAGGCTTCTGAGGTGAACATCCATCTTGGAAGAAGACCTAAATTGCCAGAGGCAGAACAGAACTGGTTTGATTACATTGGCTGGGAGGGAAAAGATTACCCATGAGGCAGCAGGACTGGCTCAATGCTCATCTGCATGAGCGTCCAAAGACTTTGGGCTTTGGGCTCAGCTGTTGCACCGTCGCAGAACCGCCGGTGCGCAGGGACGCAGGTAAAACAACAAAAAAAAGAAGAAAAAAAAACAAAACAAACCAAAAAACGGAGCATGTGGGTGATTGATGTTTGCTTTGACTGGGCCTTCTCATGGGAAACGCAGGACGAGGGTGTAGTTTACAAAATCAGAAACCTGCTTCCTTTGCTCCGGCCATTACTCACAGGGGCTCAAAGAACAGAGGCGATTTGGGCCCCTAATGGAGCGAAGATCTTTGATTTCAAAGTAACCTCCTGACGAGAAAGTGCAGGCGCCCTCAGAGACTGCAGGGCATTCCTCTGCACACATGAAAAGATGCAATTTTTCATTCTTATCACCTCTCCCTCTGTTTTTTTTCCCTTGTTTTTCCCACTGTTATTCTGCATTTCAAACAAGTTTATGTCCAAGAAAACTACAACATGTTTGAATGAACAGTGAACCAATGTATAAGTTTCCTGAAGCAAATCATTCTGAATCCTGGAAATGAGGTTTTGTTAAAAAGTGCTTTATAATGTCGATAAGCCTGTTGATTTAGGATCAACATTTTTTTTAATTGATTCAGAAAGCTAAAGCTAATGGCTAGTCGGTGAATAACCAAGAGCAAACTAGACTTTTAAGCTTTCAAACAACTCATCACATTTGCATTTGGAGGTTATTTACACAGAAGATGATAATTTGCTCCCACTGGACAGGGACGTATAAAGAGAAAAAAAAAAAAAAGCCTTTATAAGCAATACGAAACTTATTTTATCGCTCTCTGTTCACACAGGAAGATAAAAGGTGTTGCACAGCCTCCAGCCTCCGCTCTCTGAGTTCATGCATATCGGTTTCTCTGGAAACAAATAACCACCGAGTGCAAACGGGTCCTACTTGGTCTAAGGCACCTTGCTCAAACTCGCCTCAAATCATACAAAATGGAAGACAGCAAAAGAATAATGCAGCGCCCGCTTTCACAGAAATTGTGAACTGTCCCTTTAACAGACATCCGCACTTGCGGACGTCCGTTTACGTCTGACTTCTGGTGATAACAGGAGCAATTACCTTAATCTAGGATCTAATCCAGCCTGCAGCACTTACAGCTTTTCAATCTTTTACCACAAAGTTGTAGAAACTTTTTTATTTATTTTTTTTCTTTATTTATTTTTTGAGTTTCTTTTTAAACCAGGAACTCAAAACGTAAATAAAAAAACAAAACAAAAACGTTTTGAAATAAACGATGGTGATGATCCAACGTTTCTCATTTCCTGACCAGAACTGAACTGTCCTCCAACATGCAGTCAATGCGGTGTGAACGACCTGCAGGTAAATTGAATCCGCACCACTTTTCTTCTCATCTTTTGGCTTTTGGCATTCAAACATCTGCATTCAAACATATGCCCTGTCAGTGTCGCGTTCAGCTTCCTGTTTCCTCACTTGAGCAGAAAAAAAAGCCGCGCGTTCCTTTCACCAACCAGGAAATGCTGACAAACTGGAGCACAACTAATTCAAGTGGAGGTAATTGTACAAAAAAAAAAAAACCAACAAAAAACACACAAAACAAATCTCACCGAAGTAAACCTCCTTCTGGCACTTTGGGCACTTAACCATCTTGCTGCAGTTGTGTATGTGGGCACTGATGACGCGCAGGAGAATAAAGCAGATCCAGAGCCACCTGTCAGATCCGAGCGACCACACCTCACTGTGCAGATGTGCGCCCCCTTCCTGTATTTATAGCCCGGAGGAAATGCTTCAGCTCAAACTTTTCTCTTTTTTTTTTTCCCCTCCCCTCTCTCCTCGTCAGAGGGAGAGGCCTCTGCTCGATGCAGAGAATAAAACACTCAGCACTTCATGTACAGTAGGAAGAAAAACAAAATAATATCTGAGCCTTCAGACACTGATGTTCTGCTCTGCAACACTTTTCGCGAGATAAAATGCCCGTGTATTTCATTTGTGCGAATCATGTGAGATTCAGACATTAAAAAAAAAAATTACAATTATTGTCATATATTCATTTACTTATTTGTTTATTTGCGCGAGTGTAAACAAGGAGTTTGTAGTTTTATTTTTCCAACCCAATCCCTGATGAATGTCCGCAACGTCCCAGCCTTAACAAACAAGTGACTAATGTCTCACATGAAGACTAAACAAAAGGAAAACCCATAGCCTACATTGCTATTGTTATGACCTTGCTCAAAGGCGACCACAGCAAGAGAGACGCACGCAACGTGTAAGAGTTTCTGAAATATAAATCCATTCTACTACGAAGGATAAAGGTCAGTAAAAACCTGTGGCGCATGACGTGCATGAGCATTGTGACGTGCAATCAAATCAATGCATGAGTGAACAAACTTGATACAATGAACCAGGACAACTCCACTGACATTAACGCTGTTATTCTTTTTCCAGCGGGTGACAAAATCTTCCTAACTTGTCTTTCGGCAGCGAAGTCGGCATTTGGTTCCAGATTCAAGACCTGCCTGGCATTTTGCCTGCTGCTGTGCGTCAAGCCAAGTATTTTGCAACCTCTGAACCTGAAGATGTGTTACTGACTCTGAAGCCGAGGAGAAAAGTTCATGGAGCATCAAACTTGACTCTTCGAAACCTGATTTACGACAACCGCCTTCACCCTCTCCTTGACAGACATTTATATCGCGCAAGACAGAGTAACGCTCACTCTTAATTTCAGGTTTAATACATTGCGGCAAACAAATGTCACTTTTAAACTACGTCACATGTATTTAGAATAGTTCACACCTGTTATTGACTTATCCAAGGGCCCAACCTGCGACACACCCCGATGTATCACAGCGTAGTTTGGCTCAACTACGCCTTCCTCTATTTGAAGACAAGGTGACTGATGTTATGCACACACCACTTCACCACTAATGGACACGCTCTCTGACATCGTCACAACTCCTACCTCGCCAGACCCATTAAACATCCTGATGCTGCTGCCTCTGAGACCAACTTTGAGGGTGACAATCGGAAAGCCTGAAGCACGAAAGGCTTTTTTTGACGCTACCAAATTGTGGTACGAGAGCACACTGAAGGCAGCGTGGGGCGGATGTGTTTCACCCAGAGCTAATTTCATACATTCAGGGTCTAGAAATAAAACCCAGAGCCTTCTGACTGCAGTGTGATCGCTCATCTTCGCCAACTAAGGAAGCCCTCAATAGGCGTCTGGGTTGCTATGACATGATTGTCAAAAGTTTCGCTGTTTTTCGGGATTGCTTTCTTCTTCAACTGACCTGATTTTAGCTTTATCTGTCTTTCCATCAACCCTGACCGCCTTAAAGATCCCGCCATGCCTCCACAGAACAGCCATAATTATTAAAGACTCAGATTTATTCTTATTGCTAGTTAGGGGACACCTCAAGGTAATTACTCATACCGAATTTTACTTCTGGGTATCAGAAGATAAGAGGAACGAACACAAGTGCACAACAGTTTTCTGATTTTCATACATTACTACATATTTGGAAGAGCATTTATAACATATAAAATGGAAAAGTTCGAGGGCGTATGAATACTTTTACACTCCACTATAAAAGCCGATCAAGGAAGGTGAAACTGAACTGAATGGATGATTGCTGTCATGTGATGGCAGAAACTAAAACAGCTGATTGAAGGGGGTAATATATTTGTCACTGCAACAACAAACTCCAGTGATTTGAACTCTTAGGAATACAACAGAAAAAAAACAAAAAAAAAACAAATTCAGATGCACACAAGAGAAGTGGACTAAAGCCACCGGGCCCAACCACAGCGGCCGCCCTGTTGCTTTGCTTCAAAGCCGTGCGGACAGTTGACACGCGATTGTGTAATCACGATGATGTCAGCGGCCTGTGGGTTTTACGTGCTTCAGAATCTGACGTTTGGTTCTTCACACCCAACTTCAGGTTCACTTGTGGACAAGAAAACTGCTGTCACTCGACAGCTCGTAGGTTTTATGTGTGTGTGTGTTGGATAGGTTTGTTATGGTTACTTTTATGACTATTCTTTACTACACACACACACACACACACACACTCACGCAGGCACACCTTCAAAATGCAGTTGATCTCTGCTTTGATGGGCTTTTCAAAGATAGCAAAGCAATGAAATCCCATGGGAACCAAACAGAAATATGTTTGGTTGTTCGACGTGTTTTGCAAAGAGAAAAGTCACGCTTTGTGTCCTGCTTTGTTGCTCCTCTCTGACGGATCATTCTTTTAAATATGTCAACAGGTCACAGCGGATTAGGCAGAAGGCATTGAACAAAGCAATCTCATGTTTTGAGGGGTGAACCGAAAAAAATGACCTTTTGACGGGAGGAAAATCCTAATAAATGAACATAGCGGAAAACCAACAGACCGACGCAGAAAACAAACAAACAAAACAAGAAAAGACGCATGACAGAAATGTATTTTCGTGCCAACGTCGTTGACAGAAATCGGGTTGTTTGTGAAAAAGGCACGACGGCAACAAATCTTCGGTCGTCCACCTCAGCCAGAGTTCACCCTGACAGATTTACATGATTGAGATTTATTAGGACGATTATCCAAAGTCCTTGGATTAAGAGGATAACCTCGTAATTCTTTTTACAGGATGACGAGGCAGAACCTCTGGACTCTCGAGATTAATCATTATGGAGGTCTGCCCGCAGCCACCCAGGTAGCCGGGTGGAGTGGGGTTTGTTGTCAGGTTTAGGATTAGGAGGAAACTTCTATCCGGGCTCTTAATCCAGCTGGGCCTCATAAAACTGCTGTTTTATAATAACATCTTACAGAAATCATCACTGCTCTCCCCTCAAATTAGGCAAGCTTAACGTGGATGTTTCATGTTCTACATCACCAGTCAAGCATCTCCCTAAACCTCGACCACATGAAAGTGTCAGACTTTTTAGACTATTCCTGTGAAGGGGAAGCCGCATAACACAGCTTAAATGTTTTATGCTGTTAAAGCATGCCTTCAAGGTGCTGGATGCAATTCAATAAAAAAAGAAAAACATGTTGTTTTTTTTTACGTATTTGTTAAACATGCCACCATCTCCTGACTGTACGGTATGAAGCAGGTAACGTGAGTTACAGAAAAGGCAACTGTGGATTTAAGAACGCTAGGACACCAACTTTTTGTAATGTTTTCAAATTGTTATAGCCTATTGCGCGGACTGAAAACTCTAGATTGGGTTTATCCAAATGCTTTGTATTAGGCCCGTTGTGTCCTGCTGAGTACATTTATCTGGACAGTGAGTATTTAGAGAATCGAAATGTAGCCTCAGTAAAAACAAAATGCTGTTTCCTCTCTTGCATGCTTCTTGAAAGATGGGAGGAATACTTTATCAGCTTCATTGGGCTTGGGCTCCAGCCAGTTGGGTCATGCAGAAGGACGACGACCCAAAGCACATCAGAGTCTCCAACATGTTAAACCTTCCTGAGGAATGTCGAAGGAGGGAGTACTTTCTCACAGCGCCGCAGACATTCGCCACAGCATCATACCATGAATCCTCATCAGTCAGCATGCTCAGCTGAATGCACCATGCAATCGCTCCGTCAGGATAATCTCTCTGCTTCCGTCTATCCTGATACCTTCTTTAGTAGCAGAAGATCTCCGTGAAGTATATCTATCACGTACCACCGGAAATACAGCATGGGAAATTAGAAAATACAGCTGTAATGCAACTGGACACGGTATTGGCTGGCATTTGAAAAGCAGCCTATACCGGAGTGCCATTTACTTTTCTCGGTTCTGATTGGCTGTACCCCCAAGAACATTGAAAAAGAAGACAGTATGTTAGCGAATGAAGCTTCCGATGCATGTGTTAACATGTATTTGAACTATTAAAATAGAGCGTTTTTAGAGGGATTTCAAACTTTTTGCAGATGTCATCTATCTGTGGCCCCTGACCCTGATAGGGGTGCACTGTATTTGGATTGTCAGAAAATTGTCTCCATGTTTTGGTTTGGCTTCAAGACTCTAAAGCATCATAACAGGGTGTGTAAAATCTTTTAGTGCGCCACCCAAAAAGTTACTTTTCCCGACAAAACCATCTTAAGCTATTACACCTTCTGTCACAGCTCCAGTGTATCGAGACGTGACCTGAAATGCCTCCTTTTTGACCTTACCGTGAGACAATCGTATCATGGCTTTATTACTGACCACACCAAAAGGAGGGAGGAAAAATAATCAGCGGATTTTTGGGTGACGGCCGGTGGACAGATAAATGACTTGTGCAAGAGTTTCCACAATCTTTCAGCCTTTACACTTCTTCTCTTTCATGGCTGTTTGGTTTGTCCTCGCTGTGTTTTCACGGTCCAGTCACATCTTTCAAACACATGCAAACTGTGAAGTAAAATCTGTGAATTGGCACGACCCGCTGATACCTTTGAGCGGCCACAGAGGAAACAGAACATGTTTCACTGATTATTATTGTTTAATGTAGCGTCTGACTTATGATTAGATGACAGAAAATGTGTTAGGTTTTTGAATTTGCGCTAATATTAGTGGTCTGTGGAAATGATCAGAAGTTGAGGCGAGTTCGTGCTGTGGGCCTCAGAGTGGCCTGTCTGATTCTCGTCTGTTTGTGTGTTTTTTAAGTTGACGAGAGCTGCGGTGTAACCAGATCACAGTCTGTGATGGAAACAAACGGTGGCAGTTCATGCGTGAACGGGCTCCCTGGGCGAGCCCACCCTTCCACTGCTTCCCCCTAAACCGCTTAAGTTTAGGAACGACAACATCTC